CTGAGCTGCTTGAATTTGGTGGTGTTGAAATCCCAGGCTCTTGCAAGCATGGCTATGTTGCCATGTTGTCATCTTCTCATAGCAACTGCAGCTTGTTTGTGACTATGCAGAAGACAGCAGGGAGGACACAGGTCAGACCCTAAACTGACTTACTGTAAGATTAAGTGACCATCATCTCAAGAGCAAACGCAGGACCTTGCCAGCATCCTCTTAAATTAGCCAGAACTGTTTTAATGCTGTCATGTCGGGTTTCTTAATGGCAGTAAAGTGTCTAAAAGTGTAAAGTTTCTTTTCTGTCATTAGCAAGAGACAGGCTTCCTTGCCTAAACACAGTCCAGAACACCTAGGACACCACATAGGACCTGCAGGAGACCCAAGACCTTGTGAGGAAGAAGCTGGAGGGTAGGTAGGATTCCTAACGTACCTAAAATGTCACAATTTCCTTGTGACTAGGAGCTGAAGCACTTCTGCAGTCTGCCTTTCAGTGGAGAGAAACAGGACCTTGAAACACACCTCCTGGCCACAGAACTTACAACATCAGGAGAGAATACCCATCTGAAGATGTCCATTTCTCTTTGTTGGCTTCAGACAGAGCCTAGACAGATGGCTTTTTACACAGACCTGATCAATTGAAATGAACCCAATTCCCAGTTAAATTTCCTTATTGGTATAACATTAGGACCTTCATAATCTTAAACCCAACAAGTGTGGAAATCAGCAGAGGCTAAAGAAAAAAGATTTTCTATTTCCTTAAATTCTTAATGCCTTTGTGACTTTTGAGCCTTGAATCTATTTAGTTTTAGTATGAGTAAGTATTCTAAGTTGCCTAGATATTTTAACAAATGTATCTCAAAACCATTTCCCTGGAAAGAAATAAGAAATCTGTGTGCAGAACAAGGAACTCCAGATTTGTCAATTCTACCTTAGTGATTAAAAATTTAGACACTTTTCCCTTTATAGCTTTCTTGCTGTGAGTCTGTGAGAAGTTGGGCATCTCACTCTTCTCAGAAATCTAGCTACTTCTGGGATGGCAGGTGAGACATGATTTATTTGCAAACTGCAACAGAAGACAGTACTTTCAGAAGGAAATGCAGAGTACTTGCATTCACCAGAAAAAAACCCCAAACCCCACCCAGTGGATGTGCATAGGCATGTATAAACTTATACTGTTGAAAAATGAAGTAGCCTATAATTGGGTTACGGATCATAACACACTAAATTCTACAGGACTTCAGGGTGATGAGCTGTGCATGAAACACTCATTGTCAATCCTGCCATTTCTCAGCTGATTCACATAAATGAGGAAATGGCTCTGGCATGTAATCAATACTCTAAGTGAGGGAAGTAGAGTGAAGCTCACTGTAGCAGCATGATCCCTTATTAGAAAGAACATAACCTATGCTTATTCTTAAAGATGATCTAAAGGGCAGAGGCTGCTTATCCTGGCCCTGTAAATGATAAAAAGCCAATTTCTGGGATTGGCACTCAGTGCTGACGTGTGTGAAAGTTATTGCGTGGTGGAGATTTACCTTTTGGAGCCAAATATATATCGGTGACTTTTGTCACGACCGTGTGTTTTCCCTGTTGATGATCTGTTTTTTGCTCTTGAGTGAAAGGTGTAGCTGTTGTATGTAGGTGGCCAGTAGATACATCAGCAAGTATGGTATTCTTATAGTATCAAGGTACAAATGTACCGTTACCATGACCCTTTTCTCTTACCCTCATTTCTTCTGTGCATTCCTCCTAGTATGTTAACTCTTTGGCAATTTCATCTCACTGCTGTCTGGTATGTGAACAGCATCTACCACAGCATTGCTATAGCTATACCCATTATGTCTTAAAAGATTGAACTACTTGAGGCAGAGTCTGCAAAGTAGGAAATGGCAAACAACTAAGATTTTCGTTTAACACACAGCAAGGGAATTTAAGCTTGTTGATAAGGCGTTTCCAGTGGTAGCACAGTGAAATATAGATTGCCTTAAAAGGCTGTGGATCTATAATCACTGAGAAGCTTAGAGAATAGATTAGCCAAGCCAGTTCTAGGATTAGTTGGTAAACTGATCTTGCCCTGGGACAGAGTGATGAACTGTATCGTTTCTGAACATCTTTATCTGGCTCTGTTTTTTATAATTCTGTGGTGTTTCAAAGCTCACTCTAGATTTTAGCACCATACATCCAGAATGGGGTAAACCTTGTAAAATCTGTTCTCTGAGTAAAATTATCTGTCATCAGTTGACATAGAAGAAGCCTAAAATGTCATGTGAACACGCTTTTCAGCACTGTTTTTCAGAATGGACCCAAATTCTCTGAGCACTTGTATTTTCATGGTGCAGTTCTGAAGGGAAGAGAAGCAAGGCATACAATTACAGAGATCATGAGTAGCTGGAGTAAAACTTAACTACTCTGTTGCCCGTTCAACACAATAATATCTGCATGATTCCTATTCTACTGCATCATTTCTGAAGCTGCTTTTCTTCTTTTCTCTAGACTTTACAAGAAGAACTGTACTAAAAACTGCTTGAGTTACAGTGCAAGATGTAGAAAAGTTTGTCTGCTAGGGACTGTGGAAATTGCCTCACACAGAGCCTTTGTTGAGATCTACAATGTGACCAGTGCTGTGTCCAGTTACTACTGTTTTCAGAAGAGTTTGAAAAGAAGGAAGAAATTTCAAAAGGTAAAGTAAATGAATGAATTAATTAATCGATAAGTTATATTGAAGATATTAGATGAGGCAAGGGATATTTGTAAGTATCAGGAAAGAAGAGAAATAAATATTTGAAAGGTGCAAACATCACAAAAAGAAGTATTAGTTGTGAAGTTCAGTGACCCATAGAATAGTACAACATTTTTTTCATGGTTGGAAATGTCTGGGGCAAACACCAGGAAGAAGAGTCCAGCTGAAAAAGTTTTCTTCAGTTTGCAAGCTGGAAAAGAGATCTGACCACCTAAGTAAGTTAGCAGAAGCATATGCTATCAAACACATCACACAGAGCGTGCCTTTCTGTAGTGACAGAAGCACCAGAGGCCAAGGAGTCCTCTGACCTTTACTTCCATCCCCATGAACTTGGCAAAAAGGATTCTTGTCTTTGTCAAAAAGTTACCTAGAGGGCTACCAACTATAGTAAGCGTTACGCATGTAGTCATGTGCTCTTGGCAGAGCAGTATGTTTGTCACACAGTCTCACCCATGGAGCTGGGCAAGAAACATAAACACTATCACTGAGAAGCTGGATGCCAACATTTTGCTGGGTGGAACTGTGGAGGTTACACAGAGAACCTGAGTGATAAATGGGCAGTCAGGAGTCAGAGATGGAAGCAGTCTGCTCCGCGTTCTTGACATAGTGCCCAAACTGTACAAGCACCATCTGTAAAATGTGCTTTTTCCTTACCCATGGATACCAGGAGGGGTGGAGAAGGGTTTTATATATTTGTATACTTGTATTTATATACAAAGTACATAACTTGCGTAGAGAAAAATATTAAACGCTGAATCAGGGAGTGCTTTCAAGAGAAGCCAAGTATCTTAGGATCTCTGCTATATTAGCACTTGTAAAACTTCTAAAATGTTGGTCCTCAATACTTTCTCACACCTCTAGAATACATGGCACACTAACTTTTGTATAGTATGTTGATGTGACTATTAGAAGAGTACATATTAGGGTCCTCAGTCCTAATATTAAACCTCAGACCCTATTAGTGAAGCACTTTTATCTGTCGCCCTGTTTTTGACTCCATCTTTCTCAGTATAGATTACGTGGTCAGTAGGCAAGGACTGTTTGCCCTGTGATTGCTCAGTGCCTGCTCTGCTAGCTGCACACTGCATGGGTATCATCATCACCTGGAGGAACCTCTTGAGAACAGGCCACTTGTTTCTGTCAAGGTATGAAGGTGTGAGTGCTTTTTTAATGTGGGAGGCCTCCTCTTCAAATTGAGAAGTTGAATAGCTTCCTGTACACATAATGAATTGCTCAAAGATAAAAGAAGTAAGAGATGATGCCCTCAGCTGGACTGGCTTGCTGTTGGAGATAATACCTCTGTATTAGAATCAGCTTTACTCCTGGAAAAAAGTGTCTAGTCACAGTGCTCACTCACCTGCTATTTAAGCCAGAACCGATTGTACCAACACCTGGTATCTGGCAACACTACTGAATGGCAGTGCCTACTTCTTGTTTTAGTTAACATTTTTCCACAAAACAGAAATGTCAGTGCATTTCCACATTTGGAGTTTAATCACAAAGTGACATCAATTCTAGTTTTCTGTAGGTGTGCCAAAGCAGCCTGTGGTAGACAGGGAGGTGCCATTTCTCCAAGAACTTGGAGCCTGGTGGGGTGCATGGTTAGAAGTTATGTGACAAGCAGTAATGTTCTCTCAAAAGCATTGTATTAACTGATTCTATTTTTTGTTATTTGTAAAACATATACCTAATGATCCACAGTGTTGAAAAACAAATCTTGATTGAGAATATAATGTTGAAAAGAGAAGCATGCTAGCAGTCTTTATAGCAAAACTTGTTTTCTCATAGAACCAAGTTTCAGATCAGATGGCAACACAGAGACTATAACCTGCAAATTTCACCTTCTGAATTCTTTAGAAACTGATAAGAGCTATGAGTTTTCATATGATTTTTACATTCCCTGTTCAGCTTCTGTACAGGAAAAACTAGGTGAGATCTGCCTAGAAGCTTACAGTACTGGGGAAAAATAAGAAAACTGTTAATTGAAGTGAGGAACATCTTGGGGACCTCAGATCTGAGCAAAGCAATAAACTGTACTGTTATTTTCCCTTTAGAAATTAGAGTACTAGGGCAGTGAAACTAAGTGCGTTGTAAATCTGGGTAGCACACCTAGCAGGTGCAATAGAAAACAAATAAGGTAGCAAGAAAGTTGCAAGCTGACATTTTATTTGCACCTCATTGCAACTTGTTGCCCCATTGGCCCTACAGCTGAGTGGCAGGCAGCAGCAGGTGTACCTTGTTAAGGTGATTTTCCAGAAGGTGAACCCTCTCTGCCTGTATCACTACCAAGGTTCCTTTATTTAAGTCCTAGTCAGAGGAACAGCTAAAATAGGTTTAGTTAGTGTGTGCTGTTCTTGTCTGAGAGAAAGTGAAGGTATTTTTCTGTGTTTTATTCTGCTGTTGTGAGTATAAGTCTTATGCTAATTTTTAATCAGGGAAATGCAGGTAATACTTAAACAGCATTATTGTTAAGTGATCAGTGTTCTTTTATGATCTGTTACTTGTATCTGAAGGCGTTTGTAAGCTTAAAGAACGTAATTAAGCCTAACTGCAATGTGTTTGTGTTTTTTCATTTAAGGTATGTTGTGTATTATTAATATAGAAAACTGCGTTACTTCCTAGCATTTGTTTTTAGGACTAAATTCTGCAAATCAACCACAATGGTAATTAAAAATGAACTTGTTTTTTTTTTTTTTTTTCCTCTAAAAAGCATGCTGAGTATCTTACTGTTGTTATTAATCCTAAAGTATTGCTCAGACCAAGGATGTGGTCCATATGTAAATGTTGCTGCTTAAAGAATTAATAGTAGGAAAAAATATATATATGACTGAAGCAGTGAAGATCTCCTCCATCTGTAAAACCAAACAGTTAGTATGCACATAGCTTACAATAGATAAAATAACTGAGTATTTTCTGGCAGTCTGGATTCATAAATACTTGCTTGTGCTCTTCCTCTTTACGCTACAGGATTGTACAAGCAGTATATCTTACATTAAATGCTAATGAAGCATGTTGCTGTATTAGAGGAAAATAAATATTTGATAAAAGAAATAGCAAGGAATTGTTTAAACCATTTTTTATGTATCTAAAGGGAAAATGGGGAGTTAAGTTCCTAGGGAAACTGCTATTAATTTGTTTTGTTTTGTGATCCTCAGTCTGAGTAAAAAGATGCAATAGAATGAAACTAAAATCTATAGGTACCTGAAGCTGTAGAAGATATCTTGAGTAAATAGCTGTTGCTGGTTGCTGTTAAACAGAAGTTTTGATCCTATGGGATCAAGAGGAAGCGTATGCTACAAATATGGTCAGAAGTAATAACTAGGGAAGTTATGTGGATTTCTGTTGTTTTTTTTTTTTTTATATATATATAATGGTCTATGTTAAATATATAATTTCAAATAAACTGGGATGAGGGGTAAAGATGCTTACTGATCCCTTTAAGAAGATAGGTAACTATTAGGCTGGAGGGGGGATTTCAGTTTAACTCCTTTATTCCTTACCCTCCCCCTACCCCTTGACATGGTTACGGATCATAGAATGGTTTGGGTTGGAAGGGATATTTAAGATCATCTAGTTCCAATCCCCTTGTTACAGGGAGGGACACCTCCGTCTCGACCAGGTTGCTCACAATCCTATCCATCTTATCTTGGATGTTGCATTTAAGAATGAGTAGGAAGATTTCAAAATGTATTTCCCACCCCTTCCAAATCTGCAGCACTTCTAGTTCCCTGGAGAGCCAAATGTTGTAGTTGAAGGCTGCTGTCATGGCTGGTGTGAGGACCAAGGATTTTCACATCCCTTGATAGCCAAGCTTTGAGCTCTCTGCTCAGTGAACAAAATGGCACGAAGGATGTGTGCCCATTGTTTTGACTATTACATCTTGTCCTTGTTCTTTTCAGACACTTTGCAAGAGTGGGGAATTGATAATGTCTTCAGAACGTGGTGCTAGCAAACGGCATCACAACCCAGTGGACAGTATATGTAGGAAGATCAAATCAATCCAAATGATGGATCAAGTCTCTAACCCTGCTTTGCAAATACCAAAATTTCAGTCTCGCAACTTTGACAGTCCACAGTGCAATATCAAAAAAAATCTAGAAGAAATACTGAAGAGAAGAACTTTCAGAAGTCGTAATAGTGCCAGTCCCCCCTTCTTCAGTCCCAGCAGTGACAGCGTTTTCTCTGCAGACTTGCAGTTGCTGTCACCTTGTTCCAGACGTATCTCAGACTGCAGCTCTGCAGATGCTACATACTCTGTCATTGAAAGGGAAGAGAGGACCAGCAACACATGGTTGCCAGTATGTTCCATGGACAGCTGTTCTCCACCTTACTTCACATCCAGAGAGGAGAATGCCCAAAACCAGCGGTGTGCTTTAGCAAGCATTGAATCTGAAGATGTGCACCGCGAACAGAAGTACATGACGTCCAGTCCACATCTACTGTTGTTTGCATCTGATAAAAAGTTGGAAAGTCCTGCGATCCAGCCCCCTGTGCCAAAGAGATTATCTCTGAGCGAAAGAGGTAAAAGTTCTGGAAACAAAAGCTTCTGAGTACATAAACTTAAACAGATTAACTTCTTTACTCTTTAAATGGGTAACAATATGTTTTAGGATAAGTCTAACCTGATAAGTCTGTTAAAAAGCTGAACAAAATCTCGTTTTTTTCCCTGAGAAATGTGAATCTCAATGTAAAACATGAATAAAAAATACTTCTTCAGACTTGCTGATTCCTTGTTGAGGAAGGGGGGCTTTAGCTATCTGTGTAGTCCACCTTTAATATAAAAAGATCAAAGTATACACATGGACTTTTTAATTCTTATTATTGAAGCTTTGGGCTTGTTTTCTCAACCTAACCAAGATATGGGAAGATTGGAAGGGAAGAAATAGAGACCTGGCTTCATAACGTGTTCTATTTACGTAGTATTTGCCTCAAAGGAAAAGCTACAGTTCCCAAACATGCATGTGTAGAAGTAGACATGTAGGCTGGTTCCCAAATTCAAGTCCTCAGCTATTATCAGTTTTCCTGCTGTTATTTCTTGGTTGTTTTTGTTTTTGTTTTTTTGTCACCTGAAAAAAATGCATTGTCCAAGCTGTGGTATGCTGTGCAGCCTTATGCTATTGCAGAAACAATACTGCAGTTAGAAGGTATCGTGCATGGAAATTACTATGAGCAAATGAAGATGGATAATGACAAATTTATTCTTCACAGGGCAGAAGCAGTCACGGGGCTGCAAAACTGATGACATGTATGATGTGAGCTTGATCTGTGAAGAAGACTTACTGACCACCATATTTCACGCGTGTGACATTAAACGTACAGGTTTGGTGCTTTTTGTTGCTGTTTTTCCAGCTTTCAGTCAATACGTTTTCAAAACTAAGATATGTTACATCTTGGGGCATTGTGATCTGTGGTATGTTTAGAAAGAATAGCTGCCTTAGCTAGGTGGCTGTACATGTGGCACATTATATGATCATGTCTCCTTTTTTATGATGCATCCCTTTCCTTCTCCCCTCATTTCTCCTCCACCCCAGATAACTTTTGCTGTACAGAAGTGCAGAGCAAGTAGAGTAGCAAGCATTTCTGACAATCAGCCATATTGGAGATGATCCCTTATTTCTTAGAGTTTTTCCCGTTAGGAACGAACTCTGGGAAGCTTCAGAGCAGGAGGTTATTCTTCCAGGTTCCATCTCAAACATGAATAACATTGCTAGGCAGAGAAGTCCAGCAGAGTAAGATGATGTCACGTGTTTTTCTCAATTTGATGAGTGGCCTGAATGCAGTAACACAGTAAATAAGGCATGTTTGTTGTTCTTAAATTGATTTCCACAAAATTAGTAACTTTCATGCTTCTGCATTAGGGGAAGAAAGAAAGAAAAGGCACCACCACCAACAATAGAAAGAGCATTTCATTTGAGCTGTAGTGATTGATTGCTTGTCTACAGCTCTAGAGGACAATTTTGTGTTCGCTATGGCAGATCAGTAATTGCAGCTTTTTTTCATTAGCCTACTAGTCTTCACAATCTGGTACATGGTCCCATGTATCTATTTCAGGAAAAGTAGCAGTTTCCAAGATAGTTGATTATTTGAGACACACAACAAGTCGAGGACTAGAAGACAGTGGTCTTGAAGAGCTGTGCAGCATGCTTGACCCAGATCAGAAAGATGTCTCTGTGGACCTTGAAACCTATCATGCCATCATGAAAGAGTGGATTGAAGACTGTAAGAGGAAGTGGTAAGAGCTTCTTATCAATTTATCTCAAATATTTTGTGAAAAGTTTTCCTGTGGTTTGTACTTCCTGTACTTTGGAACATGCTCATGATGTCCAGTCATGACCATGAGGTGGTGTTTGGCTGAAAACTTTAAGTATTGCAATTTGGTAAGCAAGATCAGCAAGCACCTCTCTTGTACTCTTGGATGTGACTCTTGATGCTTCTGTATTTCAGGGATGGTAGTACTACTGAGGAACCAACAGCAAGCATAGAAGACCAGGAGTTTAAAGTGCATAGAAACACCTTTGAAGGTGAAGACCACTTTATTCTAATATTATTCAGGAAAGTACTTTGTCTCTATTCCATAACCAAAAACAAATCTTTTTCAGTAAAAAAGACACCACTTTGGATGAATGTTACGTCAGGAAGCTTGGAGGCATTTGGGGGTGATGTGTCCAAAGGAGACATGTAAGTCTGTTAAAGCAATTCTTTTGCAGAATTTAGTACTCTTGTCTTTTGGATTACTTAAGAGCAATTCGTAGAACCACTGAAGCTGATGGTTTTGGAAAACTATTTTGGTGGAAATCCTGATGCTCTTGATAGTGCCACATTCTTCCTTACAGCTTCTACTCGAAGTGAAAAACAGTAGTAATTTTCCCCACTGGTATCTTAGTCCTTTTGTATCTGTCTGCCTTGTTAATTTCCTGTGGTCAGAGTTTTTCTGAGAGGGGAAAATTATGGTTTTTCTTCTTAAACTCTCCCTTCCTCTTTCCTAATTATTATTTTTTTTTTTTCCAAGTTCTTAGGTACATGATAATAGAGTAGTGTTATCTCCTGAAAAATCTGATCATTAGTTTTGCTTAGGTTATTTCTTTATTAATAATCATGACTCAGATTTGGATTAAGTTGATACTGAAGTACTTAACACTGGAATTTTTAAAGATCACTTTTTGCGCTTTGTGTAGTCACAAATCTTCAGATCTACTTTCTGACACTTCTCTCATTTTTAGGACCTCAGAAAAGTGGTCCTTGTTCAAGTTTCAGTTGAAAGTGTAGTTGCAGGGTGGTTTTGGGAAAGTGAAAGGACTCAGTACTCAAGGAGTTGGAAGTATTAGCTAGAGCCTAAGAGTGGGTAAAAGTAAAGGCTGAAGTAAAGTAAAAGATAAAAATAAAGGCTGAAGGTGCTGCCTTGCAGGCATAGGGATGTGACACTCACCTGGTGGCATACTTTCATTGTAGGGAGTAAAAAACACTTCTTAAAGACAAAATATTTGCCTAGTGCTAGTGTATGTGGAGTTTTAGAACTTACCTATGATTTGATATTTTGGATTTTGACTGCAAATGGCTGTTCACTGCAAGCATTGATAGTCCTTTACAAGCTGTTATCTTGCCCCTCTAATAGCTACCACTCAGCTTCAGGATTTAAAAAAAAAAAAAAGTCTAAGTTAGTCAGTCACTTTCCTTGACTTTGGTTGTTGTTTGTTTTTTTTTCCTCTGGTTTTGGTACTGAAACAGGGAGACATCTGACTTGATAACCTGTGTCGCAGACCTGCAGTACAACAACCTGAAGCTCCAGGAAGAGAACAACAAGCTGAAGCTTACCCTGGAAGCTGTGGATGAGACCAACAACAAATTACTGGCAGATAACGAGAATTTATGCCAACAAATAAAAAGGTGGGAGACCCTGGCACCATCTGTTCTACTGTGGAGTGTAATGTGGGTGGATCTATATTCTACCAAGTAGTCCAGCCTTGCTTTGTGCTTGCGGCCTCACTAGTGCTTCTTGCCAGCAACTTTCTTGGCTTCATATTGTGTTTGTGAGGCTTAATCCTCTTGCCTGATTGTTCTGCTCTGTACCTCCTGGTTCTTATTACAGCAGTTACTCATTTTTTTAGCCTGGTTCTTGCAGGCTGACTTGCATCTAGGCAAAATTTTGGAGTAAATATAAATAAACCTGAAGGGAAAATAAAAACTGAGGTGATGGGGTGAAAGTCTTAATACTACCAAGAGAAGAGTTATGCCCTGTAAAGTTTCCAGTTCTGTGCTCCATTTTGGGGGGAACTATTCATTTTGCTTACTGCCAAGCAGGGAGGAAATAACTGTGTAAGAGCTATTCTCTTAGTTTCCTGAGGAACTAAAGTATGTTGTCCCACTTGCAAGTATTGCTGCAGCCAGGGGAACCGTCAATGCCATGAGTATAGGGCTTTTTTTACAGTGAGTTCATAATGTTCATCTTAGCCAATTAATTCAAATGTGATGTAGTTATGTCAACTGGCAAAACATTCCCAGCATCTTCTGGGGATATTAAGGCAACAGGCCTGCAGCAGTGCTGGTGTGGGATGTGTACCCTCATGTCAGACTGTGTGCTTTGCGATGCTGCACAGGCCCCGAGCGAGGCAGAAAAAGGGCCTTGCCACACTGACTAAATGTATATAGGTTAGGGTGTCAGGCTGAGAAAATAACATGATACAAAGCTTATCCTTGAAAACTGAATTGAAGTGGCTTTCTTAACTGCTATTGATAAAGTGTTGAAGATTAATTTTCTTGCTCAGGTTAATCTGGTAGTTGACTACAGTAAGCTAGATTGGTAGGTGGATGCAAACAAAAGCATACTGTCTTTAGTGCTATGCCTGCTTGGGCTCTCATCCCTTATTGCAAGTGTGGAAGAGATGTGATAAAGTGGGTAATGAATCTGTGAGCCTTTACTTAAAGCAAAGCCCGTAACTTTTGTTAAATATCTGTGCCAAAGAATAAGTCCCAAGCAGCTTCTAAAAATACAATGTTCTTAGTATGTCAGCCCTATCTAATGACCACGTGTAACTTGCTGAAGTTTTCTTGGATTTATTTCCCTTCAAACAGCATCCAACATTCTGTGCTGAAAGCCAAATCACTGGAAGAAGAACTAGAAGAAGCAAAGAACAACCTGAACCTTTTGGAAGCGAAGGGGCAGAAGATGCTTTGTCAGAATAAACAGCTGGTAGGTGCTTTTACTTCTCAGGTTGTGTTGCACAATTTCTCATGCCATCTGTAGCACTGCCATGACCATTCAGACCATAAAAACTCAGTAATATGACTTTCCCTATGTCAGTAGGTACTGAGGCATTTAAATATGTTCAAAATGTAGTTTCACAGTATTAGGGAAAACACTGTGAAGTTATTGTATGGAACTAACATAAACTGCAGTAAAGATTTAAAAGGGTCAGCCTACCATGGAAGTTGACATTAAGAACTGTTTTTAATGATAACCACACTGCCATCATTAAGCTCCGTCTAATTTAATGTTGGCAGTGTTCTGCCAGAAGTTTAGGTTTTGCACATTGCTTCTTTTTTAAAGAACCATCAGGGCAGGAGGGTCTGTTCAGATGCACACACAAAGGAGCTGTTTTTCCAAAGTCATCAGTGGGCTCTTGGAATTATCAATGTGAGCTGGTAGCAATAGCAAGGGCCCAGTGGACATCTGTCTATTCTGATTCTGACAGCCAGAAGCCAGACAGCATCTCTCATACAGCACAGGAAGCCCACATGAAGGCATCTGAATTGCACACTAGATGTCTGAGTGGCAAAGCCCATGTGATTGTAAGATATATAAAGCAGCACAGTAGAGATGTTGATGCTGCAGCAGTTCTAGCAGGTGTTGCTAGATGCCAAAGCAGTCTAGCTGAAGATCATATTTCTGTGTTGCTGCCATGCACAATGTTCAGTGACATCTGTCTTGCTGCATGGGGGTAGCTGTAAAATTCCACAGCTGTGTGCTGCTGATGGGGCACAGTATTCAGATGGGCATTTACATGAAAGCAAAAAAGCTCTTCCATACAGAGCAGCTATTCTGCTCCACTGTGCATGCGTTCGTTTTTTTCTGTTTTCTGGTTTGGTTTATACAGTCTTTTCCTTGTGAAAAGGAGATAAAATGGGAGGGAGAAATATGAGAAGTTCTGTAGTTCTGCTTACAAGATGCTTAGTTATTGTCTCCTGAGCTGTGGAAGCACTGAGTAGGACACTACTATTCTTCTTCCTCTGAAATGGAGGGCAGTGATGGAGAAATATAATGTGACGCACAAGGTTTTCAGACTTGTCTGAAGCATGAGCATAACTACCCTTGCTCTCTCTGATCTTGAATCCCTTCCTCCTATCATCTAATAGTCTAAGTTTTATTCTGATTTGAACTGTTGGAGTCACACTCTGAGTGTAGCTAGTGTAGAAGCTGCATAGGTTTCAGCACTCTCTGTTCTTCTCTCTGAGACAAAGGAATGCAAAGAAACAGCTTTGTACTGGGCCTCATGTGTTTGTGCTCCAATGCTTTTGCTTAGTTTGGCTTTGCATTTTGAACTTTATGTACAAAAAATGACTGTTCTGTTTCTGTGGTGTTTTTTTTTTTCTATTAATCAGGAAAAAGAAAATCAAACTCTTCTCATCAAAATAGCTTCTCTTCAAGAAGAGGTAAAATAATGACCTTGCAAGTACATGTTCTTGTCTAGCTAAATGCTTATTAGTAATAAATTATTTGTGAGACTTTGAAGCCTGACATGCTAATTGGATTGTCAAGATATCTTATGTTTAACAACAATGACTTGCTGTAATACTCCTTATCTTGAAATTGTACTATGCTTCAGACTTTCCACTGGCTGGACAAGCAAGAGTATGAGGTGGGAAGCATGAAGGGAAGGGATCAAAGCAGCTTTTGAATTTATTTTTCAAATTCAAAGCTTTAGAAACAAACTTCAACTAAGCTTAGTTTGTACAGCTGTGAATACACTAACTCTATATCAAAACAACCTCCAATTAACACTTCTTGATTGATATTCACTTCTGTAACCCTTCTGTAAGATCCAAAGGAGGAGTTCTTTATGGAGCTGTAGTTCTAAAGAAATATGGTGGCTGGGAATTCCGCTCCCACATCTGTCCTTGGCCCATAATGGATCTGCAGGAGGCTAATGGAGCTCTCTATAGGCTGTTTATTAGTTGAGCTTTTGTTGTGTGTGCTCCTTTTCAGAGGGGAGTTATTAATTCTTACTTAAGTAAATATTCTATAAAGAAGTCTTCATCAGATGATAAAATGTTAATACTCGCTTACAGACTGTACTTGTATGGTATTTAAAGTGAGATTACAGAAACAGATCATAAAAAATAATCTAAAAATGTGGTTTTTGGGAATCTATCATTATGCCAAAATATAGAATCATAGAATCATCAAGATTGGAAAAGACCCATAGGATCACCCAGTCCAACCGTCCACTGATTACCAATAGTTCTCACTAAGTATATAGCGTGTGTAGTATACTATCTACTATACTTATTTACTATATACTTATATACTATATAGTAGTTGTTGTTCACTGCATGCTTGCTGTGTTGAGATTAGTCTTTCTCAAATACTAGTATGTCTCAATAGGCACTGATTAACAGCATGTTTCTGTTCTTACACTCATGGTGGGCCTGAAAAGCTGATGTTTTCTGGCATTTTGTCCTTCAGTTCTAACAGGGGTTTGGGGAAACTGGAAAATAGAAACTATTCCAGTAGGGTGAGCTTAGCTCATGTAGATGAGAAATAGACTGCTTTGAACTGAATTGGAGATGCTGGTGTCATCAAGTTAACTTCACCCTTACCATTTTGCTTTCTGACTAAAAGCTTGTCCGCAGTGAATATATGCCTTAAGATAGAGGTTGTTACCCTAAACATTTATACTTTTTTGCCTTTAACTTATAGGACTTGCTGAAGGAAAAAAAAAAAAGCAAAAAACTGCAGTGCAATTCCTATTGTCCAACATGTTTGCAGCATCAGGTATTTTGATAGGTGTAGAAGCATGAGAGAAAGTAGGAGAATAAAGTTTGTATGTGCATAAATGCTGTTACTGCTTTAGAGTAGGCAGTATCTTGGGGGTGGATGTGTTATTATTCCTCATTTCTTCAAAGAGAAGCTGTCAATCTGTTCAGCTATGCCTAAACATTCTTTATTTTGTTCAGAACATTAGGAATAGCATGGACACTGATGGACTTCAAAAGAAGATTTTGGATCTCTCCAAAAATGTGGCAGAGCTTCAAGTAAGAGTTTCAGGAGACATGAGAAGTTAGACTATGGCTTATTCAGATCTAGCTTTGTTCTTTGAAAGGTAGGCAACCCTGAACTTGTGTGTATTAAAGAGATGCAGCGTGATCCTTATTTGGCCAGTTGACACCTTTGACAAAGGAAATTGCTGTCTGGAGGCTAAAAACTGAGAATATAGGCAAACCACATTTTTATTTCATCCCTCAAAGTTAGACTTTCAGAAAACCCTTTCTTCACTGTTTGAGGAGATGCATTAGGAAGTTGCACTTTGGTTAGTGTTGCTGACACTGCTGGCACACACAGGCAAGAAAAGAGAAGGGTTGATTGAGACCTGAGAACACTTTTTATTGGGTGCGAGATTTGAACTTTGAGATATATCATACCAGGTAAGAGTAGAATTGTGTTATAGTTCATGCTGGTGACTTTGTTCTCTCTATTCTTCAGATGCAGATACATATCTATGAGAGCACTGTGGTGAATAAAGAGACAAGCTTAATGCAGGTTAGTTGCTTTTGTTTTGTTGATGCCTTGAAAATACTGAGATGGGATGCTTTATGAAAAGGCAAGGCTGTGGTCTTTGCTGTAGTGCTTTGATTTCTAGTGTTCTCACATGACAGAACCTGATCCTATAAATGTCTTCAAAGTAGGCGAGATCTGCTTTAGAACCTGATAGTGAGTCAGCATAACTAAAGGTTGCTGGAATTTGCTGTTCCTTATTAAAATATATATATATCAGAATCTTTTAAAACAAACTTCCAAACTTCAGAAAAAGTGCAAAGGCTTCTGAAAGCTACTTCCTTCACTAGACAGTAAAAGAATGTACCTGCAAATGATCTTTCTCCATCATCTGATTAGCTTTAAATGACTTAATTTTGTGTCAAAATAGCGATCCAGAACTCAGTGGAAAAGAAAATCTGTTTTCTCCATATTGAGATCTGTATGCTTCAGGAAAGCCTAGTTAACTACTTTTGTGATGATTTGTGTACTTGTGCACTTGTTATGTATTTTGTACTTAAATACAAAAACGTAAGACCACATGCAGGTTTTGGCATAGTGAATTGTGCAAAGTGCTTTCTGGGCTAATGAAGTTTCCATTTAGCTGAAGATGCTCTAAATCAGCTGATGAAATACTTGACTATCAGTTCACTACAAAAAATGTGTGGTTTGAATTCAAATAGTGACAAGACAGAATGAGACTGTGATCTAGCTGATAACTTTATAGCTGACAAGGTGTTCTTCTCACCCTCACTTCTGCTCCCAGAAGCAGCTTAATAGCTTGTACTTCCCCCTATTTGAACAATTTTAAACTTCCATGGGCTATGTATTCTTCTTTTCAATGTTTATTTAGTCTGTTGTCAAGAAGGGAATATTAAATGCTGAATACTAGAGTGTGTATTTCTGTAGGTCAGGGTGATTGGTTTGCATCAACTTGAGGAAATTAGTGTAGAAAATTTGAAACCAGCAAATAGCTGGCTTTAGGATCAGTGGGACAAGGGTTTACCTCAAAGGTATTTTTATTAAAAAGCAAAACAACAACAAGAAAAATACAGCTCTGTGTCCAAAGAGAAATAGTTTCATCAGTTTGATTAAATAGTTTCAGCTCACTGAAAACAAGTGAGAAGAGAAGATAGAGGTCATTAAAGGGATGAGAGGAGACAGCTCTTTACTTCAAGTTTGTATTTTCTCCAAGAAATGTTTCAGTTGTATGTGTAGCACATAATGCAACTGAAGCCCAGTGCATAACCCTAAGAAAGCTTCTAATTCTACCAAGTCAGTAGTGTTGTGAGGGTTGATGTGTTCTCTGTCAGACCTTTCACTAGACATTGTTTAATTTACGAAGCCCCCCATGCTCTATCCCTGTAATCATGAAAGCTAACGAGAATAAACATCTTGGAGAACACAAGTAAATTTAAGGATCAGCTGGCATAAAAAAACAAACAAACAAACAAAAAAAACCCACTTATGCTATGCACGATATGGTCCAGATTTTCAACTAGAAGTAGAATGCTGATACAGCAACCAGATAACTGATAAGTTAAAACATAGCACCTAGAAAGCATTTTCCTATGCTCTTAATTCTAGGACTTCTGGAAGAGATCTACCAAGTGCTTCCTATTGGCCAGTAGGCCAGGCATTCTTCTGCAGCTTGCATCTGTGGTGTAATATTGAGTATGCTTTGTAACTAAAACAATACTACAAAATAGATAGCTACAACTATAGCTCAGTGTGCTAATGATCAGGTTGTACGCTTTAAAGCTTTTCTCCACATTCTTTGCAGAAGGAGCAGGACATCAAAGAACTGAAATTAACCATTGTGGAGTGTACCTCGATTATAGAGGTATGGGAATAAGCTTAGTTGCTGTCTAATTGGGGGAAAATGTGCATATCCTGTGCTGCCTCTGCATGCCAGGCTAACTCTCTAACTAGCTCTGATAAATATATTTTAGACTTTGCGGGCAGAGAAGAGTAAACTACTGGAGGACATGCGGCACATGCAGCAAGAGTTGATCTCGTGAGTACTGAGAGAGAGTCCCAGGAAAAATAGTTCATGAAAAATCAAAAAGGACTGATTCTTATTTTTATCTTCTCCATTTTCTTTTAGAAATGGTTTGAGCTTCCCGTTGATGAGTAAGGTTAATGGCAATATTCCTGAAGAGATGAATTCACTGGACTGTGAACTGGAGCTTGCTCAGTCTTCTGAGGTGTGAATCAGATCCTATTGAATCTTATCCCAGTTGTCTTGCATCAGTAAATTAAAAACAAAGCTCATTCTCTGCAGATTGTTAGATAATCCCAGAGTTAGGATTCATTAGTCCTCGCACATAAGCATAGAATGTGAGGGTTAGAGTGTTGTTTTAAGTATGTTAGAGAAAGCCCAGATAAAAGCAGAGCAAACCCTTGCTGATGTGCATCTGAAAGTGCTTTGGTCACTTATTTATCTGGCAGAAGAAGAGACTGACAGGAGATGAGTCATCAAACATTTAACAGGCTAATTAAGACAGTAAATACTGCCTACACTGGATGCAAACAATGACTTTTGCAGTGCGGGAGGACAGATGTTTCTTGAAATTTAGTGTAGAGAAGAAGAAGACTAAGCACCAAAGTAAACAGCTGAGAAGGTTGTAGTCTTCATTTAATTTATTCTTTAGAAACTGATGAGCATCTATTTGCAGGTAGCGTTCCTTTGCCTCTCAATAGGAAAGATGTTCCTCACATCTGGAAGTCCTGTCCAGCTGTTTTTTCTGAAGTCTTTTGATAGTAACTTGGAAGAGAGTGTGAGAAGCGTTCGTCTGATAAGTGAGGCACAAGCTGGTGGATCTTAGTGGTGCAGCTGTGCCTGTCGGGTTGGAGGTGTAGTGTTGCCTATGTTCTCTGCAGTTAATTTCTATGAGCAGCACTTTGGTCATGCGCACTGGAAGTTTAATCTGTGATTCTCGTAGCTTTTCAGTACTCTGGAGAACTGCTGCACCAGCAGTCTGCTTTTATGTTGTGGTTTTGGTTTCGGCTATTCTGTGCCCACTTCCCTAAAAGCACTTCATGGAGTCTTATCCTTCCTTGCAGTGTTGTTTTCTCTTCAGATGCAAGTTATTCAGTAGTGCTGATAACGAATGCCTTATTGCAGTGCTTTTATTTTTTAATTAGTTCCCTGCAAGTCTTCACTATAACTTTGCTACTTGTTTTTGTGGTTGCTGCATTTTTCAAGAGGTAGGTAGCATTTGAGGTAGAAGATCCTGTGAAGGACTGAAAATGCAGGTCCAGGAGTGAGAGGTATATTTGGTATACCTTGGATTCAAAAGTAATGTCCTGCTACCTATTGCAACTCTACACAGCTGCAGCAAGTTGTTGTGTTTACCTCTCAAGTACTGAATGAGATACAACTCCACCTAATGACCTGTAAAGGAAGTAGGAGTTCTTGCTTTTACTTCGCTTGGTAAAACCTACTCTGAATAAGAGGAAAACAAGTATTGACTTCTTGCCTACTTCTGACTTGAAACTTATATTGGATCATTCAAGAGCTTGGCTTGCTTGCTTTTTTTCTTTACTAAATCTCCAGGACATAATGTGTTTGAAAAGCTTTTGCAGGCTTCAAGTTTCAGTAGCTCTGACCTTCTGGTAAATACAATGCTAGGATACTTCAGAGAAATCTAAATGTCACTGATGCTGGTTTGTAATAAGGATGTCAGAATAAGCTAGCTGGCTCTTCTGTGTCTTCAAAGATTACCAAGACTGAATGGATGTCCCTGGATGAAACACTGGACCGTGAAGTATTGTTCTTACTTCAGGGACCTGAATATGCAGGAGAGAAGTTTAAGGCTGTCATGCAAAACCTGGTCAGTGATCTATCTTATGTGAGTAAGGTTGTGGTCTGTTGTCAGTCTTTTAATTACAACCCGTTCAAACATTATTAATCAGCTCATATTCGCTCTCTTTACAAAAAGTAAATGCAAGCAACTTACTTGGATGTAGAGTTGGGGCACTTCTAACAATATTATTTGGTATATACTATTCCACTGCTTATTAATTGGGTAATGATGAGTAGCATTAGACTAGTAGTTGGATTATTATTATTTTTTTTTTTAATCTTTATTTTCAGCAAGAAGAAGCTTCTGCAGCAGAAGAGCTTGTCAAGACTTCTTTAGAATGGGTAGAAGATCCTGATGTGAATGTGCAGCAGGCCTGGGAGAGAAAACTTGTGGTAACGTTTTTCTAATGCTATTTTCTGTCAGACTTGCTTAAAGTTTTGTGTACTGCCCCAGTATATCTTACTGTTGCATCCTATATGTGTTATTAGAGGTATGGCAGTCCATTTATGGGTCAGATATGGTATATAGGGAAAAGTATATTTTGTTCTAACTCTTAGGGAGCAAGGGGAAGGGGAAGGAACAACTTTTTACTCAACTGTTGGGCTTTTCTTGACTTGTCTTGTATGACACATCTCTTTGGTAACTCTGTGCTTGAAGGAAAGGGTAGATGAAGCAAGTAGGTTTGAAGTCAGATGACAACGCAGTCTAGTGTGAAGCTTTTCTGTCCATTGTTTGAAACTTCTGTGTTTCTAAAACACCAGTTTTCTCTTTTTGCTCTATTTGACTACAAGGCAGATGGTTCCTCCACCAGGAGGAGGAAGAGAGCAGGCTTTTTAACCAGATTCTCTTTTAAAAAGCAAAATGTTCAGCTATTACTAGATGTGCATCAGAAAAGGTTTCTACAGGAATATAAGATTTAATCATAAAATCATAGAATCATGGAATAGTTTGGGTTGGAAGGAACCTTTAAAGCACAGTCCTCGCCATGGACAGGGCTGCCACCCATTGGCTCAGGCTGCCCAAGGACCCAACCAGCCTGGCCTTGAGTGTCTCCAGGGATGGGCCATAATGTATACTTACTATTACTCTCATTTTCTCTTAAGACTTGAGGGTATAGAATCAAAGTAACTGTGGCAAGAACTTCTCCCTTTGTTAGCAACAGTCTGTGGATACTGCTCAACCCTCTTGCTCTTGTTCTCTCCCTGACTTCTCCCCTGGTTTTCCACATAACAGTGGTTTCTCAGATGGCCATCATACTGGATGTAGGTTTTTTTCCTCTAATCTGTTAAGAACTCTTTTACATGCTAATCCATTGTACTGCGTATTAATGCTATATATAATCTTTTTATTTCTCAAGTAGATGCAAAACCTCTATTCAGCCTACTTCGGTAATAACAGGTTACACCACAAAACATACTGCTTTAAGCTGTTAGCTTTGAAGCAGAAAGATACTCCTTTTTCTTTCCTCCAGTGTTGCAAAATATTATAGCTGTCCTCTCCATCCTTTCTTGGGCAGGAGGAAACAATTGTTAGAGTCATCCAGCCTTCCTGCACTGGAAGGATTTTGGTCTTGAAAAACTTCCTCCTGCAATATTTCTCAGCTGAAAGATGCATGTTGATTTACCTTTCATGACGTGGTCGTATTCCCATTAAGCATGTAGAGCTGAGAACTTTTGTTTTAAGTGTTGATCTGTTCTGGCTCACCGAGTTTTATACAATTAGAAACTAGAGTAGCAGAGGTTCGAGAAATAGCAGGATGCTTTAAAAACAGGTCTCCCATCCTCAGGGTTCTGGAAGCATGGAATGACTTCATGTCAAGCATATTGTCTTCACTTAGAATGCAGTGGATGTGTGTGAAATATGGTACAGGGAGCTGAACAATAGAAGATGCAAGAAAAAAAGCACTCTTTTTAGTCTTACAGGCAGCTTTTGTGGAAAGTTGGTGAGGTCTTTGGAAACTGGGACCAGCCACTGTCACTTTAAGCTTAAACACTTCTTTTTACCCCCTGTCTTCTGTAAAATACATTATGTGCATGCTTTGCTGGAATGCTTTAAATTATTATAAACAAGTAAGTTTCAAATATATCTGTGTGTGTATGTGTGTTTAAGCATATATATGTGATGACAGTAAACATTTTTTGCCTCATTCTGCTGGAAGATAGGGCATGTGTACAGCATAACAGTCTTGATATAAGTCTCTGCCACTTATGTGTCAAGCTATGGTATTTCTAATAGCAAGTGCTGCCTGCTTTGGCTGAGGAACTTATCTTCAGGATGTGGGCATTTGCTTGTGGCCATGTCCCATGTCACTCCAGTAAACCGATCTAATGAAAATGCTCAGGCTTTTTTAGTTCTGCAGTGTGGTACGTTATGCGCTGCTTTTCTTTTGTTTGAAGCTTGTGAACAATGTTAAACTCTAATGTGGCCCACATCTGTGGGATCAGTGTCTGTTCCCTTTGAACCAATGTAAGCAAATATGGCTTCCATGTTAAGCATTCTTTAAAGTCAGAGGCCTCCATTTTTTTTGCGGTAACGGATTAAGAGGACTGAATTCTTCTTTCTTGATATTTTATCCTGCATCACGTAATTCAGGGTTCTAGTTTACCCTGTGTATCTGCTCTTCCTCTAAACACGTGGCAACTCAATCTCAAAATTCCACAGGTTCTCAAGCAGGAGTTAGGAGAGAAAAAGCACCTTTGGATCCAAAAACTCAATCTCTTGGAAAAACACAAAGAATCTCTAGATAAGGATTTTATTCGAATGGCAAGCAACCTGAGGAGAACCAAAACAGAGCAGCTTCACCTAAGGAAAGAGCTCTCTGCCAGGTACCCCTTAAAAAATAATGTATTTCATTTGTATTAAGTGTATTAAAGCTTAGTGAATTCTGAAAGCATTTTTATTTTCCCCATGGATTTTTGGAGAATGGATCTGGTTTTAGTGTAACATTACAGCATGTGAGAGTTCAGGTTTGTGTATGAAATAACTTATGATCTTGAATTCTTACTTGAAAATATGAGGGAAGACCACAAGCTGAGAAGTTAGAAGGGGATAAGTGGGGGAGAGCACTGCCTACCTCGCAGGTGCAACTGTTACATAAACTGCTGATTGCATGTGAAGCAAGACCTGTGAAATACATATCTGTGGCTGTTACTGTTTTTGGTATAACTGAAGCTGTACTCCTGAGAAAACAAGACAGTGAGGTACCTCACTAAATATGAAAATATAGCTTTAAATCTGAGGTTTTTTAGCCTGTAGTTCCTGCTGGGAGATTTAATATAACAAATATGACAGCAAGTGATAATAAACCTGAAATCTTTCTTTCTTCCTTCTCACCTCTTCTCAGACACTTAAGAAGTGAGCTAGCCAAGTTGGGATTTTTTTTTCTAATTTTCTTTCCAGAAAAATTGATCTCAGATCTTTGTCCTAAACTTATTTATAGTGTCAGTCTTCCACCATCCTATGCTAAACTGTAAATTTTTACATGCTTGCCATTCCCTAGGTTCAGGATGCAAGCAGCTTACTAGCAAGGCTTTGCATTCCTGTGAGCTAATGCAGAGCAGTCACACTGCGCTCTCACTTCACTCAGATACAACTCACATTGTTAATGTAGACCTCCCACCTGCTCTTCCTTCACTGAAGAAGGAGCTGGCAAAAAATACCAATTTCTTAAAGAATACTGCTTTCATAGAGCTGCCTCTACATCACCATTCTTTGTGGTGGCTGCAACAAGAAAAAGAAATAATCGTATAAACGAGACAAAAAAATAAGCAAGTAAAATGCTTGTGCAGAGTGAAAGAGGCTTTTTGAAAGTGGTCAACTTTAGCACCTGTTCTGTGGTACGGAATCTGCTCACTGCCAAGTGAAATACCTTCTGGAGTACTGGGAGATCAACCAGAGGAAGCTATTACCTGCAGGCACAGCTCCAGGGTGTTTTTGCTAGAATGACTGACTCAATATTGATAATTTTATGAACTTAGACCAAGCTTTCACAATTTGATCAAATAAGATTTTTAATTTTGAGATGTCTCTGAATAGTCTATAAGCTTTCACTGTGACGCCCAGTTGGCAGAGACTGGCACAGCTCTTTTTCTGCTTAGTTAGAAACCAGGGAAGAATCTTAATTCTCTTCCTACTTCCAAAGCTACTATAGGGGGGGAAAAACAAACAAACAAACAAACTGCTTGCCTACTAGGTTAAATTGTTCTTCCTAAGCTGAAAGCCTCTGTTGCTCAGCCCTAGAGATGTAATGGCTGAATATGGTTCTTAATGTGTGTCTCAACGACTAGCATGTGTCATCTCCCAGGCATGCCTGCTCTAAAATGTCAGTAACGGATTGTGGTTTGTGCTCTCGCACCCTGCAGGCAACGTGAGATAGAAACTGTCAAACAGTTGCAAGAAGAAGCTGCTGGCCAGGCAGAAGCTCTTGGTTTGGAGCTGCAAAAAGCTACAAAGCAGCTTGAGGATGCCAACAAACAGGTAAGGGGCAGACTAGTTTCCTCTTTGCCGAAAAGATGCAGGCAGATGCAAAACACTGCATACAGTGCATTGCTGCTCTTGGGAAAGGAAGTCCTGCGTTCAGAATGGAGAGCCTTATTGCGAAAGTGGAACCAGCGAAGGAAGTAAAATGTGAGGGGGTGGTGACAACAGTTTGCTGATGAAAGAGGCAGCATCGCATATTTGTGGTGGCTTTAAAAAAAAAAAAAAAGCCAAAAATAGCTTCCATACACAGTCCACCCCAACTGTAAAAATGCAGAAGTTCAGAGAGAGCTTTATCACTTCCTGAGAGAAAACAGATGCAGTTCGGTTTTATCTACATGAACTGTAGAGGCTCCTTGTATTAGGCAGGGTATTTTTCTTATTTTCCTTTTTTTTTTTTTTCTTTTTTTGTTAAATATTGTTTTGTGCTTAGAGAGAGGACCAAGCTGAAGCCTTTCGCTCTGCCTGTGAGGAAGCTGCATCCCTGAAGTGCAAGTTAAAGGAAGCCATTTCTGAGCAGCAAAAGCTCAAGGATGTGAATGCAGCTCTAACAAGCACTTGCCAGTTGCTTCAGGAAAAGATGGAAGAGCAGAAAAGTGAGTAACTATTGGCGATGTGACAGCATTCATCTTTCCGTGGGCAAATACTTTATGGATAAGTTATGGCAAAAGGGAATAGTACTGACCTGCAGGTCACCTGTGGTAAAATGCTCTGTGAAAGTGAGTTGGGTGGGATTCCCATGAGTGTGGCTGGGCTGGAGCTGTGGACTCCTAACACTACCTACGAGGAAGGTTTAGTAATTCCATGGGAGCCTCACCTTTACTGAAGTGCTTTTCATATACCTGCATAGCCCTAACAGTCATCTCTGTGTCTTAAGCTTCCTGTGTCAAGGAGACTTGGGTTTTATGCTCTGTGTTCTGCTTGATGTTTAGATTTGCTCTGTGTACACAAATAACTGCGTGGTATCTTTGTTAGAAAGCAATCATGTCACTTCATTGTACATGTGCAACTTCTGCTATGGAACTATGAAAATTTATTTCAACATCTTGCTTGCTAATGTCCCCACTTTACAGAGTTGGTTGAATAAGTTGTTGGTTTAATTCCAGTGTACATGGCTTTTCCTGTCCAAATACACAAGTAGCTTTTGCTGCCAGGTAAAGCTAATTTATGCCCACTAAATATTTGGCCTCAGACATGCATTTCAAAGTGCAGTGTGCAGTGTGATTTGTGTTGGCAATAAGCTCAAGGCACATGAGTGTGAAATAGCTCTTACACACCCTTAGCTGTCCTGACTTATGGACAATGCCAAAACATCAGTCACATGTGCATGCTTTCGTGTTTGCTGCTTTCTTCAAGCTATACGGTGTTTTGTAACCAAAGGGCATAACAATGGAAATAGAACTGAAAGATGGCACTAAATAGATGAAGTGTTTCTGCAAGTCAAGCTAGCATGAATCAAGAGAACTCCAGATACTACAAAGGAGGCTGATGCCACTGATCTAAAATAAATAAACAAGACCTGAAGTTTCCTGCCTTGAAAATGGCCAAGACTTAGGCTATAAATGGCTCCAGGTAGTTTGTAGGAGTCTTTCTAAGATAAACAGAAATAAATTGGTAGCTCTGTAGGAAAGTTGGAATTTGTTATAAAGAACAGGATAAACAGGGTTGGGGTCAGGACAAGAACAGTGCTTTATATTGACTCCTGCAAAAAGGTTGGTGGGCTACTGCCTCTTCTGACAAAAGGCCTGGATTGCTTGCTTGTTTGTTTGTTTTTTTTTCTCCCTGACTCTCACTCCATTTCCCCACTTCCTCATCCTACATGATGAGGTAACAGATCAGAAAACCTGATAGATGAGGAAGATTGCTATTAAACCCGTGTCAGCGTGGCACAACTCCTTGTGTGTTTCAAATGTGGAGTGATGACTTGAAGCTAACTGCTAATGCCATCATTCAGTGAAAAAGCTGAATGACCTGCCTTTGGTTTTTACTTGGGTGCTGACACTGCTTATAGAAATCTTTCTTCCTTCTGCTTACTTGCGCAGTACTAGATTTAGTTTTTATATCCCAAGAGTCTTGTATCAAAATAAAAACCACCAGGGGCAGGCCCCAGCGTAACCAAACTTGAACAAAGAATGTTTTTAAGTATGAAGTGAAGCCTATCCCTGGAAGTGTTCAAAGCTGGTTTGGATAGGGCTGTGGGCAACCTTATTTCATGTAACCTTATCCCAGCAATGGTGGAAGTGCAGAACTCTATGGGCTTTAAGGTCCTTTCCAACCCAAGCCGTTGTGTGTAAACTCTTCGTACAAAACTTTCTCTTCCAAAAATCTGTAATAATCATTCATTTCCATAGGGAACTGTAACACTGACAGTGTGGGGAGGAATCCCCCCTTCATAGAAGAACAAAGGAGGCATAATCACAAGTTAAAAGGTTCCCAATTTTGTCTGCCTGATGGAACTTTCGAAACAAAGTATGCTTTTAAAACTATTTCCTGTGAAAGCTATTGTAAGTATAACAACACCAAAGCAAAACGTGATAAGTTTGTGACAGGCAGCATTGAGTTTACAGGCACTTTAATACTGGACTGCTCTTTATCAAATTGTAAGGGGCACTCTAAAACTGACAAATGTCTCTTCATAGCCACTGTTATTGCGCTGAGAGGGGAGCTGCTTACAGAGCGACTCTGTGAAAGGCTATATCAGGTATGAAGCTTGTCTGGTTGGGGAAGAAAAGGTAGGCTTGCACAAGAGGTGCTTTGGTGAAAGGGCATCTATAGCTGAGCTATGCTGCCAAATCACTTGTGGTTCTATTACTTCTTTGGCTGTGGAATCCAAATGAGATCTATTTGCCAAGCTGCATGACATTCTTCTCTCCCAGTAAAGATGGACTAGAACTCACTGGTGTGCTGTTGGTCTCAATGTAAGCAGTTCTACATGATGATATTGAATATAGATTCAGGGAGCTTTCCCTGATGCATGATGTGATTTATTACTTTTTTTCCCCAACTGTCCCCTTTCCCAGTCATATCCTTCTTCTGCAGAGAGGCTCCTTAAAAAATGCTTCCAGCATAAAGGGATTAGGATAAAAGATAAAAAATGATTTTTACCTCATGCTCCTCTGTGGAGATATGTTGGAAATTATATAACTCTAGAATAATTTGCTTTGAATAAAAATACTTTCTTCATCTTTAGGAGGAGGTGGAGGAGGAGACGTAGTGGGAAGACTTTCTCAACTGGCTCTAGTAAAAAAAATGTTATAGCTTATGGTCTGAGCAGTCTGAATTTAAAAGAGAATAGGAACGTGTTTATAAAGACAAACATAAGATCCTAAAATGTATCTTAGACTGTAACGAGAGCATCAGAGGAGCAGAATCAAAACTGTGGACCAGCTGCATGTGAAATAAAAGTTCTATTTGTGCGTAGAAGTCTGCAGAATTAAAGACTGAAGACAGCAAGGGGAAACAATTGTGTGTTTTTCCTAATAGTTGAAAATAATTAAATTAGATAAAACTCTTTTTTTTCTTTCTTTCTACTGTTTCTCCACTGCAACAGCTCTGTGTAGATGAAGAATCTGTTTACAGTCTGCTACCTACATCAGTGGAACCAGTGAGAGGGAAGGTAAGTGGTTCTGACCATTGCCAAGGCTGCTAAAACTTGATGCTTGTTTTAGTAGTATTTTCCTTCATTACTTGGGGGAAGAAGTCTCTCCTCATGAGAAACTTTGCCAAGTCAATTAAGTTACTTGATTGTATGTTTTATATACATATTTTTTTTGTATGTTTATGTATATGTGCACATACACAAAAGTATATTCAAATATATATTTCAAAGTTTACTATTGCTTCTGAACAGTGCTGTCACTTGATAAGGCACTTGATAAGGTGCCTTTTGAGAAGGATCAGAGACTGAAGATGGAGCTGCATTTCTCAATTTGTCTTCTATTAATCACTTTATACAACATTTGATAAAATGCAGCTGTGTTAATATTTCAGATGTTTCTTTTAGCCATCTGGAGATAATCCCTCTTCAGCACTATATGGCAAATAAATGGTGTGTGTCTGTAGGGTATGTGGGCAGTGCCTTCTCTCCATGCAACAGGGCTTAAGCTGGAGCTGTCCAGCTACCCCAGCTGAAGGAAACTCTTTCTGCTTAGTAGGTGCCAGGCATTGGGCAAGTGCTCCCTATCTTGGTCTGCCTCATCGTTGGTCTTACTCTGGCTTTACTGGAGACAGAGAAGGGGGAAAGAATGGGGTGGCTTTGGTTTGGTTTCTTTCCTCTCCTGTCCTTCACACCCTGCATTTATACCTTCCATCCTTTTTTCGTGTTATCTACTCCCAAATGTAGCTGAAACCAATATTACCTGCTACAATTGTGAAGTTGGAACTTGAATTATTCTACCTCTTTTATCAGTTCTGCCCATGAAGGATTTAAGTTTTTTCTAGAAAAAGTGTGGGTGGAGGGAAATAGCATAAATTAGTATTATATAATGCAAAAACAATTCTGCATGTGTGTGGCGCTGATGGCACCAGTACATTTATCATGGTTGAACTTAAGTACTTTTTTTTAGGGCAGCAAAGCTGCTAATAGAAAAACACTGTGGAGTGAGAGACCTACCCTGTGCACTGACTTTCCCAGGACCTTGCCATCTGATATTTCATACTGGAGTCTTACTCCTCTGCTAGGTAAGACCTAGTGATCTCTGCCAATTTTCTGCCTCTTCCTGAAGTACAGAGGAGTTAATAAGTTGTATAGAGCAGTCTTGCTGCAGCCAAATGTGCTTCTAGATTGTGGAAAGCCTGCTGTTGGCTTTAGCCTATTTTGCATATGATCTGAGGTTGAACCATGCTTTTAATGCTTTCAAATAAAGGTCTCAAAAGGTGGCTGTCTGTTAGTCTACCAGTGGTCCTCAAAAGCATAGGGAGCCTATTGAACAAGTCACACACGCAAGTATACTCCTGGCAAGGTACTTGAATTGATGGGACTTATGTTCTTCCTATTCATCCTGTTGAACACGCTTAAGGCAGTGAGTGGCATCCTGCTACTGAGATGGGGACAATCCTGATTTAAAAACTCAGATGGGTAGCATAGTTTTTGAGAATCAAATAGTAGTATTTCTGACTTCTTTCTTTATATGTTGTTTGTGCTTTCCTGCAACTCTCAAGCCTTACTCCACTGCACAGCAGAGTGCACTTGGGACAGTATTTCCTCCATAAGTAAAGCTGGTAGAACACAGTGACTGTTCTAGTACAAGCTGTGAAATACCCAAATGTAATCTAGCCCCATACTGGGGGGAAATAGAGGATAAACTTGTTTGATTGTATGTGCTTTCTAAAATGCACTAACACAGTGTGGCTGCAACTTGCTGTATTATTGTGATCCTGCCACAAAGAAGGCAGGTTTTTGTGTCTTGCATCAGTCAAATATTGTTTTAAGAAGTCCTCAAAGATCTATTTTTTCCACTGCCCTTTACCATAAAACAACACTTCACTAGACCAATACTTTGCCATACAGAATGCATGGTTTCTGTGACCTGACTGATGGACAAATCCCTTTCCTTGGGTGCTACAGAGAAGTAACACCCTGTACATACCTCCATGTACAAAAATAGGCAAAGCCCGGGTAATCCAACCCTTCATACAAGGCAAAAACTTTCTTAATCTTTTAGATTGGTCTGTTTCTTTATTATCTCAGACCAAATAAATGAAAATTGATGTGACTGTAACAACTTTGCTTGTGGCCATGCCTCTTCATGCTGCTTTCACTTTCTACAGATGCTCTAAACCTGGAAACCTCCTGCCCAATTAACTTTCCTGTGCACAGCTGGAATCCCCCTTGCAGATGGAGATCTGTCACCAGCCTCTTTGAAAGCTGTGGTCTGTGGCATGCATCCATTTCAGATGTGACATCAGTAGGGTACAAGTAAGATGGCAGGATAACCTCTTTCGGGTAAAGGGTGGAAGACTGCTTGGGATACAGCAGGTCCTGGAAGAAGCTCAGCACACGCTAGGTTCAAAAGATGAGCATCTCTTAATATATTGGGCACTCAATGGCCAGCTAATGGTGTTTTGGGGGGAACACTTTGCTCCTCTTTTCAAGAGTATTATTAAAACTTTACTGAACCACTGGTACGGCCATCAGGCAGATATGGTGGCAGTGAACAGCATTTCATGCTGAGGCAGAAGGTAGGTGTTCTTGTGTCTATTTCAGTATTTAACTCATGATGACACTTGCATTTTGGAGCCAAATTCTTATCCATTTTAAGGAGAACTTTTTTTGGCAGAATTTAGTGCAAGAATTCTAAAATCTTGCCTATCAAACTGCCTCCTTAGATCTCTTAAACAGATTGAACTATTTAAGACTCTGTAAGCAAGCTAACTAATGTCAGTGAATATTTAAAAAGCAAGCTAAGGATGTTCCTGGAGATGTAGAAGCAGGCAGTCTGCAGCTTCTGAGGAAACTCAGCAGCTTTTGAAGCTTTTGCCATAGGTTTTCTCTAGAGCAGTGCAGTGTGGAGGAGGTTGGGAAGGACAGGTGGTGGTTCTTGCTGTCTGGGGGAGGAGGGATTGATGTTTGTCATGAATTTCTCTTGGAGACCAGCTGTCTGACTGTACAGATAGCGGTGACTTTGGTTGTTATGTGCTTAAGGCAATGTATCTCACTGTTGTTCAGGCAATATGCAAATAAAATGTGTATTGCCAGGTGGAAAATATACTCTGCTGGTGGCTATACTGATTCAGACCTTCCTGTTTCCATTACAATGATGGACTCTTCACTTACTGAGGTGAGTGCTGTCTCTGATACCCCAAATGTAGTTCTGAATGGGTTCGTGCACTTTGTGCCTTACAAACAGACAGATGGAGATTTATCAGCACTGCAATGGAGCTGGCACTAGCCAGCAGGGTGCAGAGATGTTTTTTTCTGGGATATTTCCTTCTGCTTGGGCTCTATCCTGGAATACTGTTACTGACCTAAAAGTATTGATGTTCATGTGCCACTGGGTTATGGTTTTAGCTGGGAGATGACTTTTAAATGGTTTATAGGCTTCAGCCAGTGCTCTTTGAACAGAAATGCTCTGTTTTGCCAGGAAAGTCTGTGACCTCACCACATTTATACACCTGTAAGTGATGACAGGATTCTTTAGTTGTGAATGCTGCCTTTCTCTGCACTTTCTCCTATGTCTGTAACAGCTGAAAAATGATGTATTTGCTGTATGTAAGCCCTTCCTTCAGTCATGTGCTCGGATATGCTTTCACTGCTGTAGTGAATCCTGCATCTATCAAACTGCTTCCTCCTACTGTTTGAACTGTCAGTCAGCTTTCTCATGGTGATAGCCACATGAGCCATGGCTCAGCACTGTGCTCAGTGCTGCTTCACTCACTGCTGAAATCCAGACCTCAGCCCTGCTACACAGCGTGGCTTTCTAATTAGCTTGACAAGCTATAGCATGGGCAGGGGTAAAAATTGGTCGGTGGTTTCTGTCAACCTGGAAACAAGTTGTGCAGCACCAGTGAGCATGCAGCCTCAGAGCTGCCCTGGTCTCAGTGCAGCGCAAAGTGAGGCAGAAAGTGCAATGAAGGTAGAAAGTGGGAGATAGATACTGCCTGTGGTCTCAGCACACTGCTCAGCTGGGAAAGAGAAGGTGGGGAATTCACTCCCTGGTGCTGCTGCTGCTGCTTACGTTGTCTTAGAGGGGTAATTGCAGTGATTTTAATCCTCCTGGGAAGCGGCAGCTTTGCAAAGTTGTTCAAAATGTCTGTCCTTCATCGTTCTGGAGTTTTCTGTAATTCCAACTGGACTTGCAAGTGGCATTTTCCTTTTCCTAAAGGAAAACAAGGAAAAAAAGGAAAAATGTAAGTATTAAAGCTTGCCCTAAGGAGGAGGTAAACAGACTGTGTCCAGTACCTGTTCTGAAACCTGTGATGTGTGGAGACATTTGAATAACCCAGATTAATAGGAAAGGTATCTCTAGTTCTTTTTATTTTGCACTGTGGTTGCGGATGTGCTTGACCAGGCTGAGACCTTCTGCATGTAAGTAACTCCAGGGCTTTGTCAGTGATGTCATTGTAGGAGATAGATCAGGAGATACTAAATAAAGGAATGCTTGTGAAGCTAGATCAGAATTGGGCATTTTATACTTGTTTTGATGGTATGAAAGTAAAATGTATAAAGTGTTTTAGTTGTGGTTGTTTTAAGTGTAGACTTTGCAATCCCAATACAAGCAGCCAGTATGAGGTCTTCAAAAATGGAGTTGAGGATTTTCCTTAATTGCAAAACAGGAAACTACTGAGGTTACCCAGAGAGGTCATGCAGGATGCTGTGTTGTGTTAGTCAGCTCCAGGTGCCATCTGCTTTGTGTTGGCAGTGCATGTTTGTGCTTCAGGAATCCTTCAGAATTCTCTTCTTCATTCCAGTGCACCATTCATCTCTTTTCTTCTCCTCAACTACTCCTGTAGTCCTACTGGCCTGAACAAGACTAACACAATGCTGAACTTCCTTAAGCTTAATAGAGAATTCAAATAGGAATAAAAATAGCCTGCATTTGCATTAGAGGAAACATTGGCTGGCTGAGGCACAGACTCTGCGAGGGCAGTCAAGCTCTAGTGGAGGGGAAAGAAGGATATTTCCCATTCAGTGTCTCTCCTTGCATATTGAAAGGCTAAAGATGATCTTGTTCTCAGCTGTGATGCAGTAAGACTTGGGACCGGAACCACACTGCAGTGGCTAAAGGCACATGAGCAAAACTAGTTGTTTTTTTTTTTTTTGTCTGTGCAGTCAAGTTGTTAAAAGTAATGCACTTATCTACCTAAATGAGTGGAATATTTATAGCTGAATGGAGTTCTGTGCACTTATGACCTTGAAAAATGGGTGCACCCTTAAGCATAGCATTGGGATAGTAAAGTGGTATAGTAATACATGCTTTGGTCATGTGAAAATGTGTTAGAAGCTAAATGTGTTTTCAGGAACAAAATTATCTCATTAAATTTCTGCTGAGAGTTATCACTCCTAACAGTAGTGTCACAGTAAGCTGTATGATATGAGTAGAGGTGGCTATAGACTTTGTGCTCATGTACCATCTGGTTTTCTGCTGCTGAGGTAATTCAGGTACAGCTGGAGTAATTAAGATTTTGAGATGACACGATCAGAGGGCTGGAGCATATCTGTTATGAAGAAAGGCTGAGGAAGCTGGGCTTATTCAGCCTGGAGAAAAGAATGGTCCAAAAAGACCTCATTGTGGCCTTCTGGTATTTAAAGGAAGCTTATGAACAGGAAACTGACTCTGGTTTGGTAGTGATAGGACAAGGGGGAATGGCTTTGAACTGTAAGAGGGGAAATTTAGTTTAGATGTCAGGAGGAAATTCTTTACTCAGAGGGCAGTGAGGCGCTGGCACAGCTGCCCAGAGAAGGTGCGGGTGCCCCATCCCTGGAGGTGCTCAAGGCCAGGTTGGATGTGGCCCTGGGCAGCTGGGCTGGTGAGGGAGCAGCCCTGTCCATGGCAGGGGTTTGGCTGGGTGGGCTTTAAGGTGCCTTCTGCACAAGACATTTGATGGCATAAAAAATTTTCTACTTGCAAGGCAACCTGATACTAACTCTTTTCTCTTCCTGTTAAGATGGACTGTGCAGAGCCGTCAGTACCACTTGGTCTGATCCCATCCAGGTCAGGTTTTGTGTGAGGCTTTAAAAGTATTAAGATTGTATAATATGGATGAGCATCTAAAAAGTAACTTTGTTTTGACAGTGATGGCTTAACTTCTCCCCAAGAAGTTCTTACATCCTCTTCAGAAAGCACTGCGCCGGTAACAGGTAGGGCCCTTAAACCAAAGTGCAGGTGTGTAAATGTCTTGTGCTGAAACTCTCAAAATAGATATGGTGAAGTCTCTGCATTTACTGACTGATAAGTGCTCTGTCTTCTGTGGCCTGATACCTAGGCAGCCTTGTGATGGAGGAAAAGCCACCCAAGAACTCATGCGCAGAGGAGGAAGTTGTGCCAACTTCTGCGACAATGGAGAGAAACAACGATCAGGATGCAGCTGGTTCTGTGTCAGGTACAGTAACTGCTGCAGCCACACTGGTGTTCGTGCAGTGAGGAAGCAGTTTGCTTTCAGAATGCCTTTAAAATGAAGAAGCTGAGTAAGAAACTAACTTCAACTTCTGAATTTCTGCTGTTGCAAACACTCACACCTGCAAGTGCTCTCAAAGCTAAGTAGGAGTAAGGCTGTGCCCAGGAAGGTGCCTTATAGTGTTGTATGTAAGCATGAAATAACTTGGTGAAATCAGCTGGTGTAACACTGTGTGGGTGCTAAACCCCAGGGCATTTGGGGAGGAAAAAATCTTTTCATTGTTTCATGAGGTTTGGTAACTGTACTAAATGGCATTTTCCTTTGAAGTTGATATTTAGAGTGTAAAAGGATGGGGTGGGCCTGGAGGAGAGATGAGATGGAGACCTTTGTGTATGGTCCTGTCTTTCCCTATAGTAACATGTATCCATAATTATCACTTTTACCAGATTTGCTGGGGCTTCTCTCACTTAAAAACTAAAAGCAAAACAAAACTAGAGCGTGTGCGTGGCTGATCTGAATAAGCACCACAGAACTCGTGGTTGTTTGTAACTATCTTTAACCTTTACCCAAATATAGGGCTCTTTTCTTGTCGTCGTTTCTTGTTTTGTTTTGTTTCTTGGGTGCTATCTTCCTGAAATCTAATTCAGTCTCCTTTCTTAATATATTTTCTTTCTACTAATTTGCCTTTGCAGTTAATTTTCATAGTTGATGAAAGTACCTTTAGCAAGGAGGAAACAGACATGCAAAGCAGATCAGGAAGAGTCCAAATAGCTTTAAAGTCTGAGATCCTGCTGCTAGCTTTACATCTCCCAGCAGAAAGCATTTCTAGCATTAGGATGGGAGTGTTGTTGAATCTGCATTTGTGATCTTTAATACTAATACACAATGTCTTCTAAAGGTGCTTGGGAGCCAGGTTGGATACTTGGAGCTGTGGAAAAAACAGCAGGGGCATAGGGAGCACTGAGCAGGGGACGTTGCTTATGTGAAGGATGAAGAGAGAGAGCACTTCAGACCTGAAACTTTTCTTTTCTTGTGCTATTTCTTTCTGTGCATCTGTGTATGTGGGTGTGTGTGACTATATAAACAGCAAAAAGAAAAAAGAATTCTAGATGTTCTAAGAGCTATAAATAGCTGCCAGAGTTACTTGCACACAAGAAATCAGTTTAACTCTCCAAGATTTCCTTCAGTTTCTTAAATATTTTCCCTTTAATAGCTGTCTTTTTGGAGGTTATTTTTGACTGCTTTAAATGCTTTCTACACTATGGCACTTGAAAGAATTCGAATTGGCATCATCAGTTCCTGAACTGAGCGATTTGTTGCCACCAGCCTTTTGGCAAGGAGAGCCCTTCTGTTGGCTCTGCCAGCACCCTACTGGTTGGTGGTTTTTCTGAGTAGGAAGGGCAGCCCAGGTGTCAGGTGTTGGAAGCTTATAGGCTCCTGATATACCACAACTCTGTGCATTTCTTGACCTGGTTGTGCTCGAGATGCTCTGTAATTTGGTAGCTGAATTAAGTTTTGTATCTGATGTGTTGTCTGATGTTTCATAGCATGAAGTTGAAGAATTACAAACGCTCTCTGCTTCTTCTCTAGCTTGTGCATGGGAATTTATCTCCTGTGCTAATTGAAGTTGAAATAAAACTCATTATAAACTCTCTCTCTAAATAACAAAGAAAACAGCTGGGCGGGGGGGGGGGAAGGACAGAAAATCCAAGAGACTATTACTTGAACTTCTGTGACTTCACCTGGAGCAACTCCGGTCAGAAGTAAGTCTTGCTCATAAACATGTACTGCGTGTTACTACACTTTTTTTTTGAGGTCTGTTGGTCAGTGGCTGGTACTCTGGGTGTTGGTGTGTTGGAGGCTTGTTTTGATTGTATTACATTTCTTTTCTGGAACGTTTTTTTTCCAGAACCTGACCTCATCAAGAAGGAGTCCACCTCCATGATGGAAGAACACAAAGCAGATCCCATGAAGAAAGACCTGGTGAGAGTCCTGGTGATGTGGAAATGTTGAATTGTTTGGCTGAGTGGTGGTGATGCAAAGCAGCAGAGGATGGGCCCCTCCAGGGCTTCTGCAGCTTTTGCCTTGGTCTGTGTGCTCATGTTTTGTTTTTTTTTGGGTTTAGGAGATGGAAAATGAAGCTACTAAAGAACAGATTGAGGTAACACCAGCCGTGGTTCCCAGCAGGAAAGGTAAGAGATTTGTTGAGTTCGTTTGCTTAACTTACCAGGTGTGTGCCTTGGTCACCTGTGCCAAGAGCTGTGCGAGTGGGTGTAGAAAACTGCCTGGGCTGTGCCAGTAGTTGTATGAGGTTTCTGTTTTTAGGGATGGATGTTGCAGTTGAACACCAGAATTGGATTAGCAGTAGAGAAAGGAAAGATGTTAGCATACAAAGACTTGCTTCTCTGATTTCTGCAGATACTGATCTAACCAGCTCCAGCTTCCTCTAGGCAGGAGGAAGAACTTAAGAGCTGCAGAGGAGCTGGGCTGTCTGAAACTGACATGCCTCCTCCCGAGATTTGTAAAGCAGCATCCTTTATGCTAACTAAAATTTAGGGTACTGTGTTCCAGATTAACTGGAAAATGCTTCTGCTGAACTGTGCTTAGTGATCCCCGCTCTGTCACCTCACCTTTTGCCTTTGGAGGAGAACAGCAGCGAGTGATGGTGTAACATTCTGAACCTAAGGGTTGAAAGCTTAATCCAAAGTTTATATTAAGCTTTCCCATGCACGCAAGATGTGAGTTGAAATCACTTGAACTAACTTCTGTGGTTCCATGCAAGTGTCAGTGCTTTGTTGTTGCTGTTCTACTGGGGTACACAAGGAAAAAAAAGAGTTTAACACAGAGGAATTACAGCCGTGGCTTCTGCTGGAGCTCCAAAAACTGACACAAACCATTTTGGTGGGCTGTTGGGTTTTTGGTTTGTTTTTTTTTTTCATTTTGGTTGAGAAAGTTTTTTTTTTTTCTTTTCTTTTCAGGGAGTTCACCCACTACAGGTGGCCTTAAAGGAGATAAAGCAAAGCAAAATGAGCCGTAAGTGTTCTGATTTTCAGTGATACCTGCATATGGGAATTCGGAGTGGCAGTCTGTTTCATGATTGCTTCTTCTTATCTCACAGTGACTCTCCGAGTGAGAAGGAGGTGGAGGTAAGTCTCTACTGCCTGTATCCTTACGTATCATGGACAACAGAAGGGCCTCGTACATAAGCCATTAATTGTGGATTGCTATCTTTTCCCATATAAAAGGAGGGTGCTGAGTAACTTAAACCCAGTCTACTTTTGTGAATTGGCTTTTGAAGTGTTGTTCCCAAGTATGTTGACATAAACAATGTGTCTGTATGGCACAAATATGGAAGGGCTGCTATGTGAAAAGGTGGAAATCTGTTAGACTGACTAAAACACTGTTACAACTGAAACACTCATTTGCAAGGGTGAAGGAGAGCAGAGCTGTGACCTCCTCCTGGCAGAGTGTATTGGTTTGGCCCATTTTTCAAAGGACAGATGGCAGGCTGCATGCTGCCAGGATCTCATCTGTCCTGGCTACAGATTATTTTCTCCATCGCTATAGATGGAAGGACTGGCTTTGGGGAAGCAAGCCATGTTTGTTTTATCTTCTGTATCTCTTCTGTAACTTCATTATGGAGTATATTCCAAAATGTCATTTCAGCATTCATATCTACTTTAAAAAAAAAAAAAAAAAAAAAAAAAAAAAAAAAACCACAACTCTGCACTGCTTGGATTGTTCTGAAATCATTTTGTTTCCACGATAGGCAGAATTTCTAAGGCTGTCTTTAGGTTTTAAGTGTGACTTGTTCACTTTGGACAAGAGGGTGAGGCTTGAAGAAAGATCCCGAGAGTTGGCTGAAGAGAACTTGAAAAAGGAGATTACAAATGCTTTGAAGATGCTGGAGGTGAGTGTGAGGTGCACGGAAACAGTGGTTATCAGTGTCTTCCAGTATGGCACTCTTTCTCCAGAATTTGTAGTACATCATGAACTAATCTGAACAAAATTAAGTGATGAATTTAAAGTAGGAGGAACTTAGTATTGGAGGGTTAACCTGCATCTGAGTGCTCAGGCAGTAGGGAATTTTTCTATTGCACAGGTGTCCAGAAAGAACCCTGTACTTGATTGATTTTATGCTAGTTAAGCTGAAATCTCTGCCCACTGGAGCTTGCTATCAGGGTACACTGAGTGAGGCTGTTGAGTGCCAGTGTGGTGACTCTGAGCTTGAACACTGCCCTTCAGCATCATCAGTTGAGTTTGCCCATTGTTCTCTAAAGACAGCTCACATTTATTTTTCTTTTCCGTGTGTTTGTTAGGCTTTAGTTCCTTTGTGTGAAGAAGATAACCAAGCACAGGAAATTATTAAGAAGCTGCAGAAAAGCTTGCAGTTTCTCAGCCAGTATGCAGCCAGAGTTGCCAGCAGAGCAGAGATGCTGGGAGCTATTAACCAGGTAATGCTTCCCACATACACCTTTTGTATAAAAGCTTCTAGTTGTTGAGGGTTAGCAGTACCTGTTGGCTGGGCTTCTGGTTTCAGGACTAGATGTGGGAACTCATGTATGCAGAGGAAACTGACCAGTAAGGTCTAGTCCTGGCTCTGCCTTCTCAGACTGCTGCATGTATTGCTATTGGGAATCACAGGCATTGTGAGAACGACTGCATTATGGAGGAACACAGCACCAATGTGGTCCTGATTTAAAATAAAAAGTGAAACAAAACAAAAGAAAACTGGTAGCCTAGGGCTGCTTACAATAGAGAGCACAAAGATATAATGTGGCAACAGCAGTCTTGTTGCTCTAATGATAATTCCCTGCCTTCTGGGAAGGGTCCTAACAGGGCTTTGGAGGAAGCGTAAGTGAAATATATGGAAACTTTTTAAAAATCTAGTCAAATGTTGTGTGTAAGCATGTGGAAGAACAGCATGAAGATAAGTCTTGACAATACTAGTGAATGTGTAGTGGGTGTTCAGACTGTAGCTCAAAGAAGGTGAGTTATAAGGACTCAGAACATTAAAGTATGAACCACGTTAGAATAAGAAAAGTCACTGAAGAAATGAAATTTGCGTAACTTTGGTGTGAAATGAGAGATGGGTTGCAGTGAAACTTTGTAGATGTGATGCAACATCCTCTCACTTCTGTCCACTATGGTACAAGATGGGAGTGGATAGATGATGACGGGGAAAATAGAATCTTAAAATCTAAGCACAGTGTAGCTCCTCAGAGGGCCACTTCATTGACTTACGGCCGTTTCACTCTGTCAGGAGAGCCGTATCAGCAAGGCTGTGGAAGTAATGATTCAGCACGTGGAAAACCTGAAGCGCATGTACGCAAAAGAACATGCAGAACTTGAGGAGCTGAAGCAGGTCCTGCTCCAGAATGAGAGGTCATTCAGTTCTCTTGGAGATCGAGGTAACTCAAACCAGCCTGTTGGGCCCTCCTCTTGTTGCGGTTTGCCAGGCAGGCCTGTCTAGTTAAGGCTCAACCTCTGAGGTAGAGAGATTTGTATGACTGATGTATCTCCTTTTCTAAAACTAGAGGAAAAATACTATGTTACAAGCAAAGTTGTATATAAAGTGTGAGGAACTGTGGGATAGTGGGAAGAAACACTGCAAGGATGTGGCAGTGTTCTGGCTTTTCCACAAGTGCATTGGGTATGGTGATGGTAATCTTACTGCTTCTGAGCAGTACATTTAGGTGCTTGCTCACTCTGCAGTGTTCCCAGCTGTTATTGCTATGTAGTTTAGTTTTGATTTTGTAGGTGCTTGCAGTCTTTTCTAAATTTGAATTTCAGCTGCTGAACTGCAGGTGCTCTGAGTTTCCCCCATTCAGCAAATGGTAGAGTGGTTGGGTTCTCAGACAGTGTCATGAACTTGTGGCTTTTCCAGGAGGAGTGTGAATTTCCTCTGAAATGAAGCGTGCATTTTAAGAGCAGATAAGGTGGTCTTAGTTGTGCACTGCTAAAAATCAGGAGCCTAAACCACAGGTTATTCTTAAATTTTGTCTACGAACCATAAATTACTGTAGAGATTGGCCTAAAACAGGGTGTTTGACTTGATAATGGTAGAAACGCTGATAGCAACAGGAATTGATCCTTGCAGAGGATGTGTAATATATGCATATATTCAGAACTTATCTAGAAATAGAGAGCTTTTTTCCCCCCTGAAATCTCATTTCTGCTTTCTGGGAGCATTTTGATGTACTCTCTGCTTAGGCAGATACTGCAGAAAGTCAGACCTCTAGTTGCAACTAAAACACACTGCATTTGTGTAAACCTTCCTGATGTCTAATCTGTTCACAGATGAATCTACAAACAAGAAGCTCCCCAATTCCTTTAACTTCAAGGTATGGCCCTTTTAGTTTAATGTGGTGTGTGTGTGTGTGTGTGCGTGTGTGTGTGTGGTTTCCTTTGCCAAGTCATGCACTGGCACTGTGGTGCATGCTTGACATGATGGTTTTCTCTCAAATATGGGCTGGTGTCATCAAACACAGACATATTTTCTCATTTGCCTTGATTCCCCCTTTTCCTCCAGACCCAAGGGAGTTGTGTGTGGCCCCTCTTAGGGCAAATGAGGGGTTCACAAAAGCTGAAATGACTGTGTTCTCATGTAGCAGCTAAGAAATATTGTTCACATGTGGTTCTCCTATTGGTGTTACAAGAGAAGGGTTTAGCACAGATGAAAAAATGAATTCAATTCCTGTTGACTGGAGGAATTCCTGTGAGGGAATGCATTCACTTTTGGTGTTTTGCTGGAAGCTGTGTGCCCAGCCTCTACTTAAGTGGGGAGGAGCAGTTAATCTGGGAAGATGCTACTTAAAATAAATAAATAAATAAATACATGCATTTGGGGCTGTGTGCATCATTTAATTGCTTGTTGTGTGTCACTTCAAGCTAAGTATCAGTGTTGAGTTTTCACAGTTTGTGCCAAAACAGATGGTGTCTTGTGCACTCAGTGAGTAATCCAGTCATTCTTTGAGCCAGTAATGCCTTTTATTCCTGCAGCCATCACCATCCTTACGAAGAGTTAGCATTGCAACATTGCCTAGGAGCTCCGGAAACGCAGGTGTTGGGGTGCCACTGGTGAGTAAGGGCTCTTGTGTGGTGAGGCATGTGTCCCTTCTCAGAAGTGGCTGAGTTTCACTGGGAAAAGGCAGCTGCACTAAGTGGCTTGTGCTTCTTCTCTAGGCCCAACTGCAAGAACCTGTTGGAGATGAATGGAGTGATAAATTCAACAGGAGATCAAGCAGTTGGTAAAGTTGCTCGGCTTCTTCTTTGTCTAGGGTTAAATAATTTTCAGCTCAAGCTGTGCCTATATAAAGCAACCTATGGAGCATTCTGAGGTATAATAACATTAGGCTGCATCTTTCACGTTAGCTCTATGTGCTTCAGTAGGTAAATGAGCTTTTGTGACTAAATGCTGCAGCTTTTCTTTTTTAAATCTCTCAACCCTTAATTGAAAAACTATGTTCTCTTACATTAGAACTAAAATACAAAAACCAGGCAGCTAATGTTAATGGATTGGATTTAATTTTTAAAAATCCCTGATTTTAGGTGACTAATCTTGAAACTTATTTGTCTAAGTCCCAACCAAATGAGTAGGCTGCTGCTAAACTTGTACTTTCATGATATGTTTCTGGTGGGGAAATTCAGGCAAGTACGTTTAAAATATGACAGGGGACGACTAGGAGCAAGGCAAAATGAGAAGCGTCCTTCCCTGCAGCGATTCATTAGCACCTATTCCTGGACAGAGTATGAGGATGAACATTCAGAAACTAAGTAAGTTCCATGGCAATGTCCTCCGTGTTATGAGCTGTCAAATCAAATGCTTGATGGAAAAGCTTTGGAACTGTTGCTTGCTTGCTTGCTTTTAGAAATGAGCAGCTGGAGTTGCCTGCTGAAATGCAAGAACAGCTATCAAGAAAGGAAAGTACCTCTGAAAAAGGAAAGTGTCCGTCAAAATGGAACCTGAAGTCAGCGTAAGTTTCTTTTGTTTTTTTCCCCTCACGTGGTTGTGAGGTAAAGCAGTGGATGGCTGTGGGAAGTGGAACCAAAGGTGTCACTTTGGCTTTTGTTCTCAACACTGACTGCTGAAAAAAAAATGAACCAGGAATGAATAACATCAGATGCCAGACTCGCCTCACGAGGGATCTGTTAGCAACCTTAAGTGGGAAGGTAATGGGGAGATAAATGGGAGCTTCATGCTGCAATCCTACTTTTACTACTCTGTGCCTGTATAGCTGAGCTTTGAGCTACTGGGGCGTGTGACATCTACTCTCATTTTAAAAACGCACACAAAAAAACACCCTGGATTTTTTTTTTATTGAGGCCTGTGCAGCACCTAGTAGCAGGCACAAACTGAGAGACAAGCAGTTATCACCACCGAGTCTAGATTATTGCAGCTAATTTCTCTGGGCCTCCCGGGTCAAAGAAGGCTGTCCTCAAGAAGAAGAATCCTTTCAAGAATCCTTTTACAGGAAAGGAATTGTGTTCTGTACAGGAAAAACTGCATGAATATCCTAAGCTAAACCTATAGTTCAAGCATTCCTGGGCAAGGAGACAATTGCACGCTAGCATGTAAAACTGAAAAGGCAGCAGAAAGAACAATACAATACATTTACTTTCGTTCTATTGTTGGACAAAGAATACATGTTCCCAATTTCATGACAGCTTTAAGAGAGGAAAAGTAGGAAAGAAAAGTCACCGAAAAGTAGGTGAGAAAAGACTATTCCCTAATTTCATGGGAGGCACCAAAGTCCTAGAAAGCAGTGAAAGACAGAATTTTTCGCAATCTGCAAGGCAGCACTTGTGAATCCTCTTCAGAAATAGTGTAGAATGGAGCAGGTGGCTGCCTGAACTGGGCTTTAGGTGTGTCACCTAAATCCTGTATCGAAAACTTACTGATCTGCAAAATGTCAGCTAGCACTGTGCAGAGCTCCTAGTGCAACAGAATCCTTGTCTGTCACCTGTGATAATTAATGATGTATGTGCTTTTTCAAATCTTGGCTTACTGTCTTGGAGAGTTATTGTGTTATTTTTTGGTTTGTGGGAGTTTTCGGTTGGTGTTTTTTGTTTCTGTTTGAGGGTTGGGAGTTCCGAGTTCTGAAGAAGAATGGAAGGAGCATTACATGACTTACTGTGTTCTGCAGGTGCAATTTAGTGTCATCGTGGGCATCCCATTTCAAGACTTCCTTTTCCAACGCTAACAAAACTCTCTGGGTTTCCGTGTCCATCCTGGTACTGCTTGCTGCTTTTACAAGCTTCCTCACTGGGCTGTCTCTTCAGCGACCAGCAGATGCAGCACCTGTAGGAACAGGGGACTCCTGGACTTCACTACAGCAACTGTTGTGGCCGTATACAGGACTTCAACACAATGGGCCGCCCCCAGTATAACCAAGGTTTGGACCTGTGTGAAGTGACACGTCTGAGTTCTAGTTGACAGTATGAGAAGCTACACTGAGATAGGTAATATATTTAAGGTCATGGTTTGGGTTGTGGGCCTTTTGAGGGTTTTTTGTGTTTTTGTTTTTTCATGACTTGAAAAATACTTTTTTCTTCTCATTCTGGCAAAAGTTAACTTTTCAAGTAATGGGGGGAGGGGGGAGTCTTAGTTCTATTCAGGTTTAGAATAAAACAGGTAGTGATTTTGAATGTGGCTCCAATAAATATGACTAAATGGTCCAGCCACAGAAGCATAAGTAACTTATTTTAACAAAGATGCAATGGTTACATTTTAGTCATTAAAGCTGTTCCAATAGTTCGAATAGAAAAAGACTGAAGACTTGAAATGTGACTTTATTGGAAGTTTTTGATAATAAAGTTTTAAATGAAAGCATGAAGTATTTAAGAGTATGTTAAAACTCTTGTAGCAAGGAGCAGCTGATAGACAACATCAACAAACAGAAAGTTAGCTGTATTCACTTTATCAATTGCTGCTTTGCTGGCAAAATCTTTCAGCATGTGGTAGAGAGAGGAGTGAAATTCAGAATCTTCTTCTAGTTCCATTGAAAAAGCTTCACTGACTTCAGTGATCTTCAGCTTCTGTGCTCTCTGACCATTAAACATGTAAAGAGACCAGTCTTCATCTTTGACAAAATCTGCTTTAAGATGCTCACTTACCTGATGTGGAAAAAAAATGGGCTGTAAGATAAAGCTGACAGAGAACTAATTCTAGTACGTGTTTGAGTTTACTACAGAAAATCAGTATTTTTTTTTTTTTTTTTCTGAACTCTTAATGTAACATTAGGTCTTTACCTAAATGACTGTGTAGAGTAACATCAACACCAGCTTATTCCATGGTTTGCCTCTGTAAACTGCAAGTATCAGTCACTGCCTTTCTTGCTGTTCTCACTTATACATAAAGAAGAGCTAGCTGCAATGGGCATCATGTATTTCTGTTCTGCTTAGATGAAGTAGTGGGCTTGAAGGCATGTGACATTCAGACAAATATTAACACGGGGGGAAGAGCTTCTCAGTATTTCAACAGTATGTTCTGTACCTACAGCCACAAATGGAGGTATTTCTCTGTCTGGGAGAAGTTTTGACCGTATGCCATTCAGTCAGGAAACAAATCAAGTTGTGTGTTCCCTTCTTTACAGTACAGAACTAATGAAAACACCTATGAAGCTAAGAAGTAGCTTTCAGGTGGTAACTGGGTGGTAATTCAGAGGACCTTCTTATAGGTTACTTTGAGAAATCAGCATCTACCAGTGTCTCCTAGCCCCAGTAGTTGACCTGTATCAGCTGTACATCTTAGCACATTAGTAAGTGCCTTTGTTATTGAGAATTGTACCATTACAGCTCTCAGACTTGTTCCTCACAAATGCAGGAGAGAAAGCTTTAAAGTTCTGCTGAACACAGATGTGCTCGTTTGTGTTTGTGTTTTTTTTTTTTTTTTTTTTACCCTAAATAGCTAACCTGAAATCTTAGAACTGATGTCCTATGTATATAGATCAGGACAGGGCTTGAAGACTGAGACAGAAACACCTTCCATCATCTGCACTTCTGTGTGGTATGTTTCTATACTGGTTTGTCCCTGGAAATTTGGTCTAAAGCTACGAACCTTGAACACTACTTGATCTTGACCTGATTCCAGATTCCACTTGCTCCAGCCAAAAGCAAAAGCAGATGCAACCAGGGCCATTTGTTGATATGCCCTAAATTCTGTTAGAGGAGCCTGTAATACAAAGTTAGAAAATATGCATCATTTTCTGCCTAATAAAGCTTAAAAAAAAAAAACCAACTTCCTTTAAGCAGACACTTGTCTAAGCTGCCACTCACAACTCTGCCTGCTGCCTCTATACAGCTTGCTATATGAAAATGCCTACAAGAAGAGGTGGAAGGAAAAAAAAAGGCAAAACCACTTGTTTGCACGCACCTTTTTATTCACACAGACATATTTGTATGAATACTCCTCTGGGAAAATATTCAGGCCACACTTCTTCAAAACTCTTCTGAAGGTGACAGGGCACATCCATTTTCCTACCAACTGGGAAAGTGCTTTCTTCTCTCCCACCACTACTGCAGCCAGCATGCATTGATTACCCTGTTGCATAAACCAATGAAAGCATCTTGCTGGTGAACAAAGGTATTTTTCTGCTTCAGGCATCAACTGTTTATTGCCTCATGGCTATTCTGGATACTGCCTACATCAGGCATCACCCTGATCTTCAGATCTTAATTCACAGATCTTGCAGAAAGCCACTTTACTGCCCCATACTTACAGTCACGCTGACTTTTCAGTAACAGACATGATTTTAACCAATTTATATGTCAACAGGAATATGAAAGTTGTGCATAATTTGAACCTTTGGAAAGAATGAGTAGCATAAAATAGAGGTTTATTTCTTTTGGCACAGTTTGGAGGGCAAAGCAGCAGTTTTTCAGTGCTGGTGGAGCAGTTTTGACTTTGCTAAAATAGTATCAATATCAAAGAACTTTATTGGAATGTTGCACAACAGATGCTTTGTTCTGAACAGTCCACTGAAAATAATTTAAGTCACCTGTAATTTTGGTTGAATTAATGCTTGGAAATGAGGAGAATCCTTCCTTATTTTCAACAGAGAAGGACTTCTTGTAGAAGCACATGTAGTTCTTAACAAGGGACAGCATGGTAGTTCTATATTTTCAAAAAAAGCCTACAAGTCTTTTATATTAAATAACTAAATTACAGTACCTTAATTTGTATCTGAACCTCTGCAAAGACTGTGGTAATTACAAATACTGCTTCCTCTGTACTGGTGGGTCGCAATTCCCATGCTTGATAGGGCATGTTGAGATGAATGTCCTGGAGAAATGCTATTGTATAAAAGGCATCTATCTCAAAAGTGATGTTTTCCTCCTCTGTTTCATATTTTACGTTGCTGATGCCATCTGTTCTCCACTGCTGGCCTTTACGAAAGAGGCAAAAAGAAAAAGCTGTACATGGGAAACTCCTTACAGTCAGAATGAGTTGAGATAAATCAATTCTCTTTACTTTATGCCTAGTATTTTGGGGCAAAAGCTTCCCTTAGTTTAATAAACACAAAATTGGACTAATCCTGACTTTAAAGGTTCTCCTTAAACTCAAAAGAACAACATGGACTAATGTAACTGTTGCTTTTTATGTAGTAACAGGAGTCTGCAGTCTTATCTTCAACAGTAACTTCAGCCATCAAACTATCTTAAACTGCCTATTTTTGTGAAGTCAGATTTTAATAACTGAATATCACATTTGTTTTTAACTTCAGAATTTTGAAGTAACGTGACTGTATGGTAGGGACTAATTTGGCTCAGAGCAGGCTTCATCCTAGCAAAACTTGATTTGTGCTACAGGGGTGTTCTGCTGCCCCATTAAATAGTGCAGGGTTTTTCTATCAATATCAAAAGCCTCAAAGCAGCCCTTGACTACACACAGTGCAGGAGCAAAACAGAACCAAGAGGAAAAAAAATGACTCCACAGACTGAAATCTTTAAAGTATTTCTTAGCTCTGAGCTGGCTTTTACATTCTAGAAGATTCAAACTCAGCTAGAAATTCTCTTAGCCAAACAAAATGAATTTATTTTAACTTGGTACCAGCAGGATCCCAGCGGGCTATCACAGGCTCCTTCCAGAAGATCACACTGTCAGGCAGTGCAAGTGTTATCTGAATTGGTGGATGTGTGGTGTCTTCAGACTCTTCTGGGGGATACGGGTATGCCTCCAAGCCACTATCCAGTAACTTTGACAAAGTAGGAAGAGAACAGACAAAATGTTTGATCAGAAAAAGAAATAGCCTGAACTGACTGAAGTCCACCTAACCACCTGTAGATCTTCATGATGTACAACTTAAAATTTGCTAGTATAAATGGTGTGCTAATAGTGCATATCTCCAACAAATATTTTTCCTTATTGCATACTCCTGCTAAAGTATTTTGCTAGACTTTTACCAAACACTAATGTGAAACAGTAGCACTTGGTACAAGTTCTGCCGCAGTGCATGTTTCCCTTCATTGGAACTACAGTGGTGCAAGCAGTAGGAGGGTTCAAAGGTCCCACTGGTAGTCACCCTTCGTGTGCTCCATTGGCCCTTTCAGGCAGTGCTATGTGGTAAGTGAAGGTATTTAATAGAGCTGGAGTCTACAAGACAAACAAGGGCTCCTAGCTGGTAAAAGCCAAGACAACTTCTGTATGTCTGCACAGTGTCAAAAGGAATGAAAGAGGTCAAATGTGAGTGAGAGACATGAGAGCTTTGCCAGTCTGCCCCCAGTCCTGCTTTCTTTAGCCTGTAAGTTCATTCCACTTATTGTTTTCATCTTCACAATAAAAACTGAGACTACATGTGGGAGAAAAAAGATACGTTCACCATTTGTGCCCATTTGATTACAAACATCTTGTGGAGTCTGGAAGTGGATTTGCTAAATGCTCTTACCATCTTTCCTTATATATTTCCTTTTCACATATGAAAAAGTAAGTTTTACTTCCCAAGAGCATTTTCCAGCACAACAATTTAAGTTATCTGTGTTAGCTGTGCTAGTGAGCAGAGTCCAAGTGCACACCTTACTGTATGCACATTTGTTTACCTCAGCTGCTGCAAAAATTGACCAAGTCTAATTGAAAACATGATTTGTCAACTTTGGAGCTTCAATTGATTAACTGTTCAAGAGATCAACACATGTAAAAACTGTGTGTATGCCCTGGTGCCAGCTCTAGGAATGGCTCTCTGAGGATGGCAGGGAAAAAGGCTGCACGAGATGCAGTATTTCCTCACTTACCTCCACCACACTCCAGCTGTTGATTTGCTGGACCTGAGGTGGAAGTTGTAGCCCATCGATGTGGTACACACCACCCACAGGGACAAATTGTTGCAAATCAACAGTGTTTTCATCAGTTATCATCTCCTCTTCTTCACTGGTCTTTTCCTGCATCTGTAGAATTTGAACTACATAATAGCCAAGCAAGGTGAGTTATCGTGGTGCTTAAACAAAGCCACTGACATTTCATGCTTCTATTATTTTTTACATTTGCACCAGAAATCGTGTGCTTGAAGTGCTTCTCCTTCTGTGGCATTTCAGCTCCACCTACTGGTGTGCCACGTATCCATTAACAGCTGATTGGCACAGAAAGGATGCTGGACCATGAAAAGCATTTCTTGTGTTTTAGTACTGAGCGTCTGAAGATTAATCCCTATTCACACTTTGTGGTCAACTCCAAGTACTTCATACTGAAACACAGTTCCAGTGACAGAAACCGGTTGCATCACTAATCACAGAAGAATTTCACAGGTGAACAAGACAGTAAATTCTGGCCAAGTTCAGTAAGATTGTATTGGTGAGATGACAAATAAGGGAAAGAAAAAAGATATAGTGCAACTACAGGCCACGTGCTGAAGGTGGAAGGTAGATGGTATTTGAGGACAAAAGGCACTTAAGTGAAACAAAATTTTTAGAAAAAGTAATTTGTAGTATTTTTCTATGTATAACAGATGTATAAATTCAAGTTTTTCCTCAATTAACTAAAAAAATAAAAATAAAAATAAATTAGATGGCATTGATACCATGGATAAAAATGCCCAGAAAAATGTATTTAAAAAAAAAAAACAACAAACACAAACCATTGTACCAGATGTTGCAGAAGAAGAAAGAATGTTACCATACAATAATGTTTAAATGTCTTCTAAACAAAGCTGTTAATTTTTCCAAGCTACATTAACTTCTTAACACTGGTACAACTAAATTAAATCCAGATAATAACCTGCAAAAGTTCTTGCTGTTCTCACTGCTGCCCTCTCCTATTTTCCTCTCTCGTCCCTTGGCTGCCTGCTGTCAGTGGATTTGTGGTAACTTAGTGGTGTCCTTTCAGACTCCTCCCAAAAGTGGCTGTGTGAGTTTGCCCATTTGCCATTTGCCTCTTTGTCCAGTTTTCTCCTGTCTTTAGCAATCATTAACAGAAATGTCAACAAGAGTGCCATTAGCTAGACAGCAGTATAGTTACCAAATTTGTTCTATTCCAGTGGAGATCTGTATCACCATCCTTCCATATTGTCAACAAGACATTTAGAATAAGCAGTGTCGTAGTGTTGCAAATAAGAACACAGTACCTTCTGGTGGTATATCAAAGCTTTCTGATTTCTTCTCAGTTTCCTCTTTTGTCACCTCATTTATATCAGTTATGCTATTTGTATTTCCTCTAAATGAAATGGCACTCTATAAAAAAGGAAAAGATTTTTAATTAGGTAGAGACACTCAATAAAAAAAGAGAGTATCACTTTGTTAAAAACAGTGGCTCAAAGAGAAAGAGCACAGCTCCACTCCTGCAGCAGTATTTGCACTGATCTTGCCACAGGATTAAGGTTTTAGGAGAAATCCTTTTTACCTACCTGAGAAAAATAAATTGTATTGAAGATACCCCTCAATTTTAGAATTTAACATGTAAATAGAGATAAACATAATTGTTTCAATTGCAAATTCCACCTCCAGCATTTAATCCACCCTCAGCATTTAGCATCCGATCTTTTCACTAGCAGTGTGTGTACTCAAAACTAACATTTATGCTGACTTTAGAGCTAAAGAGTGCCACAAAGAAAACTGAACTGTTCAATCCAAAGCCACACTGATAACTCTGCCAGAACCTCAGCTTACAGTCTCAGTCTGTGCCTTGCCTGTGATACTTACTCCCTCTCATACTGTTCTCTATTTCTAAAACATCACCATAGATTTCCAGCCAAATTTCCAGTCCAGATATGATTTCATCCCTGGCATAGCTGACTCTTCTGGAAGCACAGCAATAAGCAAACAATAGTTCAGCACACACACCATGCATGTGGAGGCACAGGCACCCCCTGTGTGCCTGCCTGGGAGCAGGAGGAGCACGCACCTCCTGACCTGGGTTGGGAGGAGAGAAGGTGTTACCCACAGAAACATGGGGGAGCTGAAGGCTGAGCCAGACAGGAGGAGTGGCTGCAGTGGCTGAGAGAAGCGGAGGCTTCAGAGAGAACGTGGTAATGCACAAAAAAGAGAGAAAGAGAGTAAAACCTGGAAAAAAAATAGAAGCAATGAAAGTGTACGTAGGACTGAAAAACATAGGTGAAAACTGTCAATGGACAAGTCTTGTCATACAAAAGAACAAGAAAAATGGTATTCTAGGCAGTGGTCAGGTCACTTATCTGGAGGTCACTGATGATACCAAAAGTGGAAAACCCAAACCCAATAACAAACAAACAAACAAACAAAAACAAAAACAAAAAACACCCAAGAAACTCCACAACCAAATGCCCAAATGCCATTACACTTCATTGAAGACTGCAAAGAAAGAGAATCCAGCAGTCAGAAGCAGATTTTGAAAGCCCTCTAGTGGCAAAAACATCAACATACAGGAACTGAGCAGGTAAACTGCTCAACCAAGCCCCAGTGAGCTCTGAATCCTATTTTGCATTCTTTTGATTTTCCTAAGATTACATTCTTGCAATTATTTTATGGGGCTGCCAATGTATGGGGTGCAGAATATAATCATCTTGATATACATCACAGACTGCAGCAAATGCCTAACAATCATCACTGCTTGATCCTGCTCACAAAATGCTGACCAAATGCCATCTCATGCATGCCAACAGACAACAACTGCTATGTCCTGTCAAAACTTCCCCTTCTACCATTTTTAGGCAGTCTTTGGTCATTCACTTTTCCATCCCCTCAGAAGATTCATGGCACAGTGTTAACACAAGTTGTCTTTACCCTTAGAAGTTTCAGAAAGTTGTACAGGGCACATTAAGAAGCAATCACACAGCAGCTGGTCTCCAGTGGGAGCAGTGCTGTAGAACATCCTTTCAGGAGCTGATTTACCTACATTTCTCTCGACAGGAAGCATTTCTTCTTCAGTAGTCACTTTGGGCTCCTCTCTGACTTCCTTTTCCTCTTGTGGTTCTCCTGCATTGTCTTGTGAATGCTGAGTCAACTCTTCACTATCTAAGACTTCCAGTCTTGGCACTCTCTGGCACTGCAGCCAAAGTGGAGATATGTGGTCGTAGTGGGTGTGCAATATGCGAACAGCAATGCTGCTCACAGCCAGTGACTTTGGAAGATCAAATCCATGATGTGTGCCACAAAAGACATGATTCTTGAATCTGTACATGAGTTAAAGAAAAAGAAGTTCCCTAGTAAGATCGGCAGCACTCACTTTTACATTTTCTCATGACTATTCTTGTTGATGTTCTGCACTAAAAGTCACCTAAATTCTCTATTGCCACATGGCACAGTATAAGAAATGGGTGTCACACTGCACCTCCTGTCCTGTACTGACAACTGTCAGTATGCTTCTCCAGAAAACCTGTAGAGGCATTAAGGGGATCAGGAGTTGCCAAAAAGTAATGATCCCAATAGGAAGACAATGCAGCAGAATCAGACAACAGCTGTTCTACACAGGACATTTCTGCTAAAACAGACTAATTTAATGGGCAAAGTCCCATACAGGTGAAATCACCGCTGTCTGAATTACATCAGCCTCAGCATCTTCCATATGAAATCCAAAGACAATTCTGATCAGCAGCAGCACTACACACCCACCAATCCTTGGGACAGCCCAGGAGTCAGGCTGAGAGCAGCACAGGAGGCCAGCCATGGCAGACACAAACTCCAGTGGGCACTTGCTGCCAGTCAGTCTGACTTTGCTCAAGACCCAGCCTTGCAGCTATCTTAGCAACGCTTATAGCAGTGGGTCCTCAGTCAAGGCAAAGACCATTTACCAAATCTCCTATTTTCAGGCTGGGAGCGGGAAGTCTCAAAGAAAAAAATGTTGTTTCAGGACTTGTTTTGAAAAATGTCTCAGGAAAATGGCAATCTAATAAAAAATCTTAAATTCAGAACCGACTGTGGAGAATATTCCCAGCGCAGGTTCTGTCTTCTTTTATCATTACTGAGAACTGAGTGTAAAGCATCATGCACCACTTCGTAAGAAACTGAGACAGCTTAGGAAGCTGGAAGGCTGTAGAATAAATCCTATTCAACACGAAAACAATTACAAGAAACTGGTTCTTGGAGTACTTGGACAAAGCCAAGTCTCAAAGTAAATGAAGAATTTCAACATGCTGTACCTTGCTTTCTTCTTCAGATTGGCCCAAATACAGAAAGTAACATTTTTATCCTTTATGACTGTCTGCATATTTCCAGTGTCAGAATCTTCATACATAATAGCTGACTACAAAGAAGAAAGCAGATGGAATCACGTTCTCTTCTTACATTACTTGGACTTACTTAAATCTACACTGGAGTAAATTAAAAAAAGAGAACACATAGGAGCAAAAAATGACAGCAGACCAAGCTCAGCTAAGTTTTATTTATGTACTAGAACGTGCCAGGTTATAAATTCAGATCTCTTTGCTAAAATCTTTTCTTCCTCAGACATCATCAAGTCTGTCAATCAAAATACCACCAAATATGAGTCTTACATCATCCCCTTCCATGGGACTGCCTGTCTTCATTAGTAGTTTGTTTTGTATTTCTCAGTGGAAGTTTTTTTAAAAAACAGTGTTTACTGAGTAATACAACAGTCCTATGCTTTACTGCACAGATAATATTTTTTTACAGTCCTTACTGCACAGATGATATTTTTTGTCAAAACTTATGACCCACTTTTCACACTTGCAAATTTCTGTGCGCTCAGCCAACTTCTAATTCAACTCATGGAGACAAAAGGAAACAAATTTCAGAGGGAGCCACTTGCTTCCAACATCTCCTAAGATCACAGTAATGGAATATTAAATGCCTTAATTTAAATAGCAATTTCCAAAGGAAAGCTAAGATTCTCAGAAGATTTGAGGTCTGGTAGCTGTTCCATACGTGGCTTGTGTCACAATATAAGAAACAAAACAAAACAACACACCAAGAACAACCATCACAGCAAAAAACTTGAAACAAAATTTCCATGCACTGCACGTGTTGCAACTTGGAAGCAGTAAATCTTACTTTAAGCAGCTGTTCTGTCGCTTCATTGTACTTCTGATGAAGAAGATTCTCCAATTCCAGAATCGTTTCCTGGTACTGAGCTGTTTCTTTTTCTGTTATCTCACTTGGTGGTGTGTCCAACAAAAGAAACTGCAACTTCTCAATTAACTAGAAGACATTGAGAAAAATATCTCTGTTTTGCCACCAATCCTGCCATACAGGCTGTTCCATCATAAAAACAGAGGCAGATTTGCTTCTTTTGCATCTAGGCGTATCTTTGTTACAGAGATAATTCATCATATGCATTGAGATTGTACTAAACCAGCATAGACAGCAACCATGCAAAATGCTGGAAAATCCAGGTCAAGTCTGCCTTCCTTCATTCCTGCAGCCCAATTCCTCCATTCCTCAAGATGGAGATGTGAAATTTTAACTTATAAAACAGACCACATGTTGAACCAGTTTGTCATGTCTTCGAAGACGCTTGTTGGCCAACATTTCTTTAATGAAAATCTTACAGACCTGTTTTTGAAACATATTTTCTGCATCAATTATCTCAGCTCTGAAATCTAGAGAATATACAGTACTGAGACATACAGCAATTATGCTTTAATTCTGAGAATAATCCTTAGTGTGAAGTTTGGGACTCCACGGTAACACTTTTGTCTTCCAATACATGCCAATACCTGAACTTCTAAATGAGCGTGGAAGACTAAAAAATTCCTATTTGGCTGAAGTTTTAAAGACATTGATCTATCACAGGATGCACTTACTAACACACTCTCCAGTAAAACTAAATTTCAAAACTCTTGATGGAATTTTTATTACTATTCACTCCCCATCCACAAATTACACCCATTCATGTTAACAGATGCTGCACAGAGAGAAGAATAACTTGCTTCACTTTATCTATGTGACCTGTTTCTTGCTCAACAGCTGTCACAGTGGAATACTAACTCTAACTGGAAATATTAACTGATCTGTTCTGCTTAATGACAATCATCAGGAGCTGCTGTCAGCTGTGAATGACATGGGAAGCAGATCACACGTGCTACTGTTATTATGTTAACTGATGCTATGAAACCCTTCAAAACACACACCCAAAATGCTATATGGTAACTAACATAGCAAAGCAAAGGAGAGCTATCACTACAAAGACATCTTACATACCACTTTTCTTCACCCAGATCTGCAGCACTGAGAAAGACAGCCAGATTATATTTCATGCATCCCTTCCAGATTTGCCAGACCCTTTTCCCTCTTAACCTGAGGCGCTGTAGTGCTACCACTCACTGAACAGCAGGATAATAACTAGCATTGCCACTGTCTTTAGATTTTACCTTTCACTCAGTCCTTATCAGGAGGTCCCTACCAGTTAGGAGCTGCTGATCTACAGCTTCTCACAGCCCTGAGTGTTCAGAATTTTTCTCCAGAAACAAGTACAGAGCAGGAAAGAAATGCTCAAATCGTGTTGGGAGCCCCCAACACAAAAAGGACATGCAGCCGCTGGAGCACATCCAGAGGAGGGCAACAAGGATGATCAGCTGGGGCTCTTCAGCCTGGAGAAGAGAATGCTGCCACGAGACCTTATAATGGCCTTCCAGTACAGGAGAGCTGGGGAAGGACTTTTTATAAGGGCATGTAGTGACAGGATGAGGGGAAATGGCTTTAAACTGTAAGGGTAGATTTAGACTAGAGATCAGGAAGAAATTCTTTACTGTGAGGGTGGTGAGACAGTGGAACAGGTTGCCCAGTGAGGTTCTGAATGCTCCCTCCCTGGAATCATTCAAGGCCAGGCTGGATGGGGCTTTGAGCAACCTGGTCTAGAGGGAGGTGTCCCAGCCTAAGCAGGGCGTTGGAACTTGATGATTTTAGAGGTCCCTTCCAACCCAAACCATCCTATGATTCTATGAAACCTTTTGCACCATGAGAAAATAGCCACTGTTTTAACACTCTCCGACATCACCTTGACTTCCAGTGGGGGCAAAGTGAAAATGCCTGTCTTTCAGTATCACATAAAACTCTACTGATCTTATCGTGTAGGGTAAGGATACTTTCGTAGGACGCGAAAGACCTGTAACTCTTCAGTGTTGAATGGGAAACACAGAGGAGTAAGGAAGAAGTACATCGGGGAAAGACATGGCAGCGGGAGAGAAGGAATGGAAGTGAGCAACTGCTATACATTCTGTTTGGGTTGCAATGTAAGAGAGAAATTCATGGCGTTCACAGAACCATAGAATCATAGAATCACAGAATGGCTTGGGTTGGCAGGGGCATTAAAGCCCACCCAGTTCCAAGCTCGCAGCTGTGGCCAAGATTGCTGTCCGCAAGGTCAGGCTGCCCCAGGTCCCATCCAGCCTGGCCTTGAATACCTGCAGGGATCCTGTTAGCTGTTGGTGTTCTTGGAAAGGCCTACCATATTCCCTGCTGGCTCAGAAGAGGACAATAGGTGACAGATGAAAATCTTAGCAATCCAGCAAGCATTGCAGGAAGGGAAGTTTAACATGCAGAAAAAAGCAGTCCAGCAGAAGTTGTAATACACAACCAACTTTCACCCCGTTTCTAGCTGGCTCAAGACTTTTTAAGATGTAGATAGCATGGAAGAGCTCAGTGTAGAAATGTTACACAGAAGTCCCTTAAATACACAGCATGTTTAAAGTCTATAGTCTCCTTCTTTATACTTTACAATAAATTTGTAATTAATAAAAAAAAAATAGGTGAAGAAAGAAAAGGAAGCTGAAGGTTATAACTGATTTCAGTCTTTGGAAAAAGGAAAAGGGGAAGAGGGTACTGATGAGCAGTATTAAGGATATGGTTAGTGATTTTATACTGAAGAATACCACTTATATGTAACACTTACATTTAGCACCTGCTCTCCCCTCTCCATCACAAATGGAATGTCCTTATTTTGATCTTCGCGCCATAAGTTCATGAAAGTATTTATTTCCTGCAGTACAGTTGGGTCAGGACTTCCATCACAAGCAATATAATGTTCCCACTACAGAAAAAGCATAAAAGAAAAGTAGATACGGGCACATGGTGCAAATGACTTCCATAGTTACGACAAGAAGGATTCTGAAAGACAAATCTAGTGATTTATTTAGTGATATTTAGTGATACATTCACACCTGTGTCTAAGCAGGACTGTAATGCTACCTGTACTCCCATCATCATCATTATGCCAGAAAGAAATGGCTTATTTTCACAGTAATGTGTTCAGATACTTCTGCTCCACTAACATCGTTCTTACTGCTGGCATAAACTGTGGGGCCCTACTCACCCACACAGCCTCCTCACTGTCACGCTTCTTTTCCATGTACAACGAAGTATAAAAAGGAGAGTGAGCAGGGCAAATTCCTACCTTGAGATGGATGAATTCAAGAAATTGAAGTATTCCTAGGTCCTATAAACAGACATAGCCTAAAGCCTCTGTGTTGTCTAAACTCTATGACAGTGGGCAGATCTCGAAAGCTTACCTTTGTATAAGCTCTAAATTCTGTTTTCCACCTTTGTGCACACACAAACTTCTCTTCCAGTGCATTAAGTTCGGCCAGTTCAACTTCCCTCCGTTCTTGATCCTGATAAAATATTTGTTTATCAAGCAGAGGAATTCAACTTTTTTTTCTTTCCCCTTCTTACAAGCATTTTCTATCAAAGAAAATAATCAGGAATATTTGAGTGAGCTACTATTTAAACAAATCCAAACGTTGCTTTTTAAAGAAGCATTCAATTTGTAAGCTGCAGTAGTTAGCAATATGTTATTGTCATCACACTACTTACTGAGCCATATGACAAACACGTGCCACATGACTGTTATCACATCAACAGTTTTCACATCATCATCATCCTACAACTACCTCTAACAAGAGCTGATATAAAATGTAAGCACATGTTGAAAAAAGAATGCAAGATGTTTTGTGTTTGGTTTTTTTTTCCTTACAACTTCTATGATTTAAATTTTCTTTTTTAGGGTGTAAGGGAAAAAACACTGTGTGAAGGACAAAGGTGCACAGGCAAAGTGGCTTTTACTGAAGAGAAAAGACAACAAAAACCTCAAAACAGATGCAACACAAAATTTTGGGGAACATGAAAAAATTATCCAATTTAAGCTAGGGGGGAATTTTGATAAAAATAATTATTTATTCAAACTGGAGTATGACATATCCCCAAAGTTAACATCTTTAACCACAGTACCTTTGTGTAACAAAACTACCTTGCCTTAGGGAATTTTTCTGAACCAAGCCACTGCCTTAGAGAAGGAATACAACACACTACCACTGCAGCACCATTTCTCTTGATTGCACTTGTACTGTGCTTTATTTAAGCACTACTGCTTCGTTTGCCTTCCCAATTTTTCTTTTTGCTTTTGTGATTTTGATCTAGTGATGCTAGAAAATCTCCTTCCTTTCCAACACTAATGAAAAGGAAATTCCTTTTCATTCTCATATTAAATTGCTAATGTTTTACAGACCTTGCCATAAGTTTAGAAATGGAATTAGCATTTTGCAGTCACTATTGCCTATGAACTAACTTTTGCCTGAAGCTTTTCCATATGCTCCCGTTCAATCCTCTCCTTTTCAAGTCTAGCTGCTTCTTCTTGTTTAGCTTGCAGTCGGGCTTCCTCTGACGTTTGGGAAATACATCAAGAGCACAATTACATTTTCTTATTAGAACGAGACACATTATTTTCTTATTAGCTGTAATGATAAAAACAAGTATAATATGAAGCAACATATCTGATATTACCCAGAATCTTCCAAATGGGATTAGATAAACTCATTTGAATCACAGTACTAAAACCCACTACTACAGCACTGCCCTAATCAGCCCATGACAAAGAAAGTGCAGAAAGGGATCAGCAGGCTGCCTTTTTCCCCTCAGAAACAACAACAGATGTTCCCTCTCCCCATCCCTACAGCTTGAGTAGGCCCACAGTTTTAATCCGATGTCTGCTGTGAAATCACCTGAGTGGTTCAGTTCCCAGCTACTCTTCTGCTTTCCTACATCCTTTGATGGAAACTCCATCTTACAGATGTTTATTCAATGAAATAGATGAGTTTTTAGGCCTGTCTCAATGGCTGTCAATTCTCCTTAGGATCAGCAACTTTGATCACAGCTTTAACTGCCACAAGGACAGCAAAGGGATAGCAGACACCCAGCTAGCTCTTGACAATAGGTGTACCCTGTCAACCTTCTCTGAAAAAGGCCTTTCCAGAGAATTTCTCTTACCTTCTGCTAATGAGGATTGAGAGAAGAAAAACACAGAACACTGCATTTCCATCCCACTGAGAATATTTCAAAATGTAATGGTAAGAGAGAGGAAAAAAATCTAATTCTTCCTGACACTCTCATCCCCAGGCTCCTAATCATGGCAGAAGTAATTAGAGGAAAAAGTATGGCTCTAGCAGGAAAGTGAGATGGGGAGGCAGTAAGAGGTAACACAGAATTTGACCCACACAAAAGAAGAGAAATGCATTTTTTGAAATACAGTGTTAACATCAGTGTACTACAGCTCGGCAGGTAACTTCTTTCTGTTTAATTAAAATAAATGACTGTGTCATCACATTCCTTGTAAATGAAGTGCACGGTACCTTCCTCTTTCAGCTTCCTTTCCTCCTCTTCTTTCTGTAATCTCAGTTTTTCAGCTTTGTCAACTTTGTTTTTTCCACTGGCCTTAATGTTTGCAATAAATTAAAAGAAACCAAATGTCAGAATTATTTAAATGCATTTGGGGAGGTATTGACCCTCTATAACTCTGCCCATCTAATGTAAACCCTGAATAAAGATTTTTGACTTCCTACACAGTCATTGAAGCCTCCAGAATTGCAATATACACCCAAATCCATTTTTGTTCTTATTTTCATGGTGTGATGCATGCTCTTACAGCTATTATACGTAGGTTGCTCTGAAAGCATTGCCTCCCGTTTAATACCATGGAAACTACACCAGATACACAGACCACAGTAACATTGTTTGATAGAGCAAATTTTCAGCTACAAAACACCTCTTCAACACAGTCACCACCTTTAGCTATGCATTTTCACCAGCGATGAACAAGAGCCTGCATGCTATGCTCATAAAAAATCTGCACCAGCAGAGGTGACCCACTGTTTCACAGCTGCTGTGATGGAGTTGCTGCTAGGAAAATGTCACCCATACAATCCACCTTTCATTGGCCTGAGCAGATGAAGTCGAAAGGAACCAAATCCAGACTATATGGTGGGTATGTTAGGACATTCCAGCCAAAATAGGCAACGTGCTCCACAGCCTTCCAACTGCCTGGCATTATCACATTCCAAAAGAAAGGCTGTCTTCTTCTCTGGCCTGGCTCTGGAAGTTCAAGCCTTCAGCTTAGTCAGTGTTGTGATTGATGCAGCAGTCAGAGTCAATGGTTCGTCCACATTCCATGAAATTCAGAAGGATCACCTCGTTCCTATCCCAAAAGTGTCACCACTTCATTAACTGTAATTTTGATTCTGGCTTGTAGCGGTGACACCACATATCATCACCAATAACGATGTGATCCAGGAAACTGTAATCTTTGGCCTTGTATTAGTTCAGTAGGTCCTGACAAACTTGTATTCAATGTTTCTTCTGTTACTGTGTGAGGATTTGTGGGACCCACCCGGCAGGAACTTTGTGATCCAACACTGCCACCATTATTTTCAACACATTGAAGCAGATACCTAGCTCTGCACACAGTTCCTTGGTCGTATACTCTGTCAATTCGTGCAGATGAGCATGTAAGCTCATTGTTTTGTGGTGTGCCACCTGTGTGCGGCCATCCCAAATGTAGCTTGGATTTCACATCATAGTTGCCACTGCTGAAACGCACCACACAGTGCCTCTCTGTGCTCATATCCACTGCTGGTCTCCATAAACATTCACCAAGTGCTGATGAATGTCAATGGATGCCATTTTTTTCTGCATGGATAAATTCAGTGGCATCCCTTTGCTTCATATGCACTTCCATGTCAGGCATCATTTTGTCAGACTGTCCCTCTGCTGCCATCTATCACATGGCAACAAAATGTAATGGAATATTGGCAGGAAGGTTTAACTTCTCCTGCCATACAACCAATATCTGCCTGACATCACGGGCCAACATAATAAAATAGGAGGCATTACTTTCAGAGCAGCCCTCATATAATTTTGTGCTAGGTTTCCTGAATACAGAACAATAATTTTTAATCTGGAAATTGAATAATAAATAAGTAGATCTGGTAAGAAAGTAGGTGTTACTACTTCAAGTATTATTTTTTAGCATTTAGTGGTGCAGTAGCACTGGATGGGCAATGTGCAGCCTGATTCTACATGAGTGGGTGACATGCCACTGGGGAGGAGTGCCAATCCTGAAGGCAGGTGCTGCAAAGACAAGGCCCCAACACAACAGCAATCAGTGACCACAAAGAAAAGCACACAAAAAACAGTAAGAGACTACTACAGTGAGAGATGTCGGAACAAGATGATCCTTAAGATCCTCTCCAACCCAAGTCATTCTATGAAAAGGAAGGATGGGCCGAGAAGTAAATCAAGTTTATGGAACTTGTGAAAACAAGGCGGCTGGTTTTGTACTGCAAAATGAATTCACAGCCTACAGTGTTGGCTGAGTGTGGTTGGGATTGCTATTATTTTTTTTTTTGTATAGGTGAGGAACAAAAAATTATATTCTGTACAGGCTCCAGGGTCTGGAGATAACAAGGAATGACAGAAGACTGAGCTATAGCTGAAAGCAAAGCTGCAGATGACAAAAGAGAAGACATGAAGGAAAAGGAATGACTTACATCAGGTGGGGTATGTTTGCACTGGCTGAACAACAGCATTCTGCTGCTAGCAAGCAAGGAAAAAAAATTCAAAGAATGTGTGTTTGATATTTAAAAACAGAGAAAATAGGGAGTGTGCATGGGGAGTGTACATGAGTTCAGCAGACACGACAACGTGAGGGGAAGATGCATCACCATTTCAGGCAGCTACCCTGGGTGTTTCATTTTGGAGAACTGAAATTAGGACCGTGCATCCCCACAGGTGAGAGACAAGTGCTTACAAGGGTTCAGTCTGGAAAGGTAACACGCATAACTATTTGGAAAGCTATTCACATCACTTTGCACAGTGATAAATAAATGCATGAACGTGACTCGGGATACCAAGGCTATCAGAAGGCTCACACCGCTGGTGGGAGTTCAGTGCCCACAACATGCGCCCAGCAGGGTTAGCCTGAATCTTTTTGTTTTTAAACATATTTGCATACAATAACGTCGTCACAACAGCTTTACTGTGACAAAAAAAAAAGTCCTTACAATACTGTTTTTGGATGCGCTGAATCAAGAAGTGACAGACGCTTTCTTCAGCTTCAGCATGAGGACTCTGTGTCTGTACTGACAGAACTGCCCTGGTGCATCGCAATGAGCACCGCGGGGCGCGGGGCGATCACCGCAGCACGCTTCCACCTACCTTTTTTCGCTTTTTTGGACCCTAGAAGTTTGGGGACAAAAACAAAAGAAAGGAAGAGTCAGAGAACGGGGCACAGAGCACAAAAATCATCACAAAAGCCGCCCACCCCGTCGCTAAATAACGCGACTACTCCGGAGCTAATCCAACCCCCGCCCGCCCTTACCATGGCGCCGCCGTGTTGCCATGGCGACGGCCCGCGAGCTTCTGGCCGCCTATGGCGCGGAACACGGTGCATCACGTGACGGCCGCGTCGTAAAGCAGCGCGCTTTACGGCGGGGCGCGGAGCGGGTGAGGCGACGACCTTCCTTTCGCCCTTCTCTCCTTTTGGCGGGGCGGGGGGCGGCCTGAGGGGGAGGGACCGGCCGCACCGACGGGCAGCGAGCTGGGGCTGGCTCCGATTTATAGAAATAAAAAAGCATCGCGCTTAACGACTAACGCTTCTTTATTGATATGTCGTTACTAACAGCGCTTTGGCAGCAAGCGTTTCTGTAGCAGGCCACGGAAACGTAAGCGGGCAGGGCGGCCGTGCCGGTGTGGCGGGCGGGGAGGCGCGGGGCAGAGCTGCGGGCGGGGGGAGACGGGCGCTGAGGAGGGTGGGGGTGGTTAGGGCAAAGGGGGCTGCGCTGAGGCGAGGCTGGAGAGAAGCTGCAGTCGGTGTGGGAAGTGAGACTGGGGTGTGCTGGCTTCCGTAACAGGCTAACGTCGCGTTGGTTATCCTGCAGGTAAATTAAGCGTTGCCACGCGTAAGAACTAAGAGTTGAGTGACATGTGCAATGGCCGGCTCTTTAAGAGGTGAAGTACTGAACCTTTATAAAAATGTAAGTGTCTGAAGTGCCACAAGAACTTCCCTTGGCTAAACAAAATCCTTGTATTTTGAAGCCTATCTAAAAGCCTATCATTCTTTTCCCCTTCAAGCTGCTGTACCTTGGAAGGGAGTATCCCAAAGGAGCAGACTACTTTAGAAGCCGGTTGAAAGCAGCTTTTCTAAAAAACAAAGATGTGAAAGATCCTGAAAAAATTAAGCAGCTAATTGCACGAGGAGAGTTTGTTATAAAAGAGTTGGAGGCTTTATACTTCCTCAGGAAATACAGAGCTATGAAAAAGCGCTACTACAGTGATGACAAAGAATAACTGCTGCGACCCTAATGATACAAAGCCATAAACAGCCAATAAAAGAAGTGAAACTTCACAAGAAATGAACAGTAAATCCTTCCACCTCATTTAGAATACAAATTGGGACTTCATTTACCCTTAAGGAGGTGTTGGAAAGATTTGGGGTCTGTATTACTCAGGTAATTTTTTTCTCAACTTCTTTTGGCCTTCTTGAGCTCTAACTGAGAATAATTCTGCAGGCAGAAGTGGTGATAAGGTTGTGTTTCCCTATACGTGCTGAGCAGATCACTGCTTCTATATTGGTTCAGCTGTGCGTTGCAGTGCTGATTTGAGGTGCTGCACATCTTTTGTCAGTTAGAAGAGGAATCTGAATTTGAAAGTCTTCCACATTTGATGAATATTTTTCACCACAATTGAGCACCTTCTCAAAAGGATATTAAGATTTTGGCTATATCTGCATAGCGTGCAATACATCAACATGCTGACGTCTTACTGTGATACAAAGAACACCAGTGGGTCAGGAAGGGAATGGACAGGAATATAAATGGTTTGAGTACTCAGACCCCAAAGACAATTCCTGCAGCTACTGATTTCTGATGCTGCTTAACTTCTTAGCAAGAGTTTAGAACTTGATCCTCTCCCCTGCAGGAGAAGATTGACCCTGGCTGTTTGCTCCATGGATAACTTTGTGAACTTTGGCACAACAGGCAGACTTTCACCTTAACTATTCCTCTCTACATGCTCTGCTGATTTGCTGCTTTAGGTTTTTCTCACATAGAATTAAATGACGCTGGAGATGATAGAACAGAAAAGATCTTTGAAGTATAGGTAAATAATCACTGCAGCAGAACTGTTGGCAACAGCCACAGTGTTAAGATGCCTAGGTTCCAGAAAAGCAGAAAAGTTTTTTTTTAAGCAAAAGGCCAATAGGAGACTTGAGATGTGTGTTTTGTTTCATACTGCACTGATCTGACAAAGCCCTTCCGTATCAGTTGGATTAACTCCCCTACAATATGTTGCAGTGAAACCTACTCTGCAGAAATACCTTTACATAAAAAATGTAACTAACCCTGCCCAATAACTGGTAAAAGATTGTCTAGATGTGATTATAGATACAAAGGGCCAACTTGCAGGAACAGTAACAATTCTACAGGTTGTTTTGTTTCTTTTTTTCCCTAGGACACAATCAGTACTAAGGAAATGCTTTTATTTTCCCTAAGTTCACAAAAGGCATTTGATAGAGGTGTTGTGCACAGCTGGAAATGAGTACAGAATGACTCTTCTGACCATTTCAGGCTTGCAGACAGATACAAATTCCTTCTGCTATTAGAGTAAGGAAAACCTGGTCTCTGTGCCTGGCTGGGAGCGACGGCCCTTCGATTCAGGGAAGAGATGTCTACACGCACCTGCAACCGAGATGCACCTGAGGCCGGGCCCTGCTCAGAGTGCAGAGCCAGCATGGCCCACCAGAGGGCTCAGCGTTGTCATGCGCTGTGCTGTGTCAGTGCTGCTTATGGCAGGCAATGACAAGTAGGAGAAATAAGCTGCAAACAACTGCCAAACACGTGTGTACTTCATAGAATCGCTCAGGTTGGAAAAGACATTCAAGATCATCGCGTCCAACCACAGCCTAACCATACAACCCTAACTCTAACAACTCTCCACTAAATCATGTTCCTGAGCACCACATCTGAAAGGTTTTTAAACACACCCAGGGATGGTGACTCAAACACCTCCCTGGGGAGCCCATTCCACTGCTTAACAACCCTTTCTGTAAAGAAGTTTTTCCTGATATCCAACCTAAACTTACCCTGGCACTTGAGGCCATTTCCCCTCATCCTGTCACCTGTCACCAATGAGAAGAGACCAACCCCGCTCTCGCTGTAAGCACCTCAGGTATTGGAAGAGAGCAGTAAGGTCTCCCTCAGTCTCCTCTTCACCAGACTGAACAGCCCCAGTTCCTCCAGTCTCTCCTCGTGGGCCATATTCTCACAAACCTTGTTGCCCTTCTTTGGACGTGCTTCAGCACCTCAATGTCCTTTCTGTACTGAGGTGCCCAAAAGTGAACAGAGTACTCAAGGTGATGCATCACTGGAGCCGAGTACAGTGGCACAGAGTACTCCACTGCAGAGATGAAACACTGAAATTCTTGGAGAGAAAAGCAAACAGGGACAGAAGTTCACAATAACTATTTTTTTATTACATTACAATAAATAGGAGCAGTACAGTTTGACAAAAAAAAAAAAAAAAAGACAAATTCCAGATCACCTCACAGCACATACTCCTAAAAACATTAAAAATTTTAAAACAAACAGAGGTTTTTTGTGTTTTTTTTTTCTTTTTTTTTTTAAATGTAGTATCTGGTATTACCAACATTCCTAGGTCACGCAACCAATGATGGAAAAACTGGATCACACTGCATATGTTCCACATCAAATAAAGCACGATGTACAAAATGTGCATGTTTCAGTTTACACTATACAAAAATAGTTAAAATACATTCCAGGTAAACATATTACATTAAGAAGTCATTCTAGTAAGAAGTTGGCACTCAAGAGGAAAAAGCAGAAGTATTTTCAACATGAAAACACAAGACAGTGGAATAAAGAAATGTTAGGAAAGGTTTACCATCTATGTAGCTTTATGTAAACTTCAGACAAAATGATTGGTATACAGTTTGATGGTCTTTGAAGGTAATAACTGTATTGCTTCACAGAATGAAGTGCAGAAGATTGTGTGTATTTACCTATTGCAGAGATCCTATGTGACGTAACTTCTTTTTTTCCTAAGTTAGGGCAATGAGACTGGTTAAAATAATGTTCAGTTATGTTTACCAGGGTTACATAAAGCTACTGAAAGAAGGTGTTACTCCCTGACATATGGCAATGTAATGTATTAACGCAGCAAGTGATTCACATGTTCAGTTAGCAGTTACTGCCAGAAAAGAAAGCATCCAGGTATGTCCTTTGAAAACATTTCAAATAGGGAAAGACAGAATAACTGAGATCAACTTGTGCAAGCTGCAATCCAACATGCTTCACCAAATCTCTACAAATATTAAGACAAAACTGCACAACAGTGGCAAGGATGAGTATTTTTCTTTTTTTTTTTTTTTTCCTTTAAGTCAATAAGGGCTATTATAGGGCAATTTTATAACCATTCGATTAGATTGGTAGCTACAGATCAGACTTACTGAAAAACTTATTTTATATATATCTTGATAGCAGAGCTGTATCAATCCACGCTTGATTATTAAGATATTTCTGCTAAATTTATTTCCCCCAACAATTTTTAGTTAAATTAACGTGAGAATTTCAGAGTTTTACATACAGTATGACTCGGTTACCAAAAATCTTTAAAATCACCTTAAGATCGCTGTTGTTAGCTCAGGTATACTATCCAGCTTTGCTATCTTCCTCATATCTAATCATATACTAACTACAACGTGCAAATAACTGCCTCCAAAATGTTTTTAGCCTTGGAAGCTGTAAAATGTTGTAGGACATTAAAAATTTATCAGTATTCCTCGTTGGCCCTTAACAGGTATAAAGTTATGTTCTCCTGTTACAATTTTTCAATTTTCTTTTTCATAAGCTAAAATATATCTCACACTGATGCTGAAAAGATGGGGGCTGATGGGGGGCTGGGAGAGCAGTCAGTGCAGGCAGGGAAAGGCACTCATTTGTTAACTTCTCAGGCGCATGAAAGAACGTGCAGCAATGCAGACAGCACACTTCCCCTGCCAGCTTTGCAGCTCTCCACCTAACAGTCACTGCTGATTTTTGCTGTAGGAAGCAAAATGTGTGCCTGCAGTCGCACCTTTGACATCACACAAATGGTCTAAGTTACACTGGTAGATTCAAGCGATACTGTGTAAATTTTCCACGTAATGGTTTAGTTATAGGTTAAGTTTGGGCAATGCTGCTATTCCCTTTTCCAAGCTTTCAGAACTTACCAGTGCACTGTCCTGTACCACCCTCCTTCAGTGACTTCTGTTTTACTTTTGGTACACGAACTCACGCTTCCAATTCTGTTCTGCAGCTGACTGGGTACCAGTGAGCCTTATGGCACTGAGGCAACTAACACAGCCTAGCGCTGTAACTTTTGCAGGAAGAAAACAGGAACAGGCAGCACTGCAAACACTAGCTCTTACTTGGGTGCAGAATAGTTAGACTACAGTACCAAAAAGGAAACCTGAATTCTGCATTAATTCTGATCAGAAAGGAAAAAAAAAAAAAAAAAAGAATCACAAGAGACTTAATCACGGAGAAAGACAACATTAAAACCTTGGTCTATTTTCATGACAGTCTAGACATTGGAATGCCACTCACCAACCATTTAATCTGTGCCACAAAACTAGCACTTCACAGACATCACATAAACAACACTGAATCTGGAAACCATGTTCTATGCTGAAGATTAGTGCAAATTCCACACCATTTTTATGGCATAGTGGATTTCCAAATTATTTGCATGAAGCAGCTAAGTTCAAGCTCATTCATTCACTGATTTGAGGTTACTAGAATTTAAAATTCCGCTCCTATTTTTACATAAAATGGGCATGTGGAAACATTTCATGCCACCCTTGGGGAAAAAAAATCAAATGGTTTTGATTTACTATACAATTTAGGATTCATTCTGATTTAATTCTTATGATAAATTCTGGATCCATGTATGAAGTAACCTAAGAAATTGAATCAACTTATCTATTAAGGCTTTCTAGTATTTTCTGGAGACACTAAGGGTGAAATCTCATCCTACTGAACTACCTGGGAGCTCAGCAGAGCTAAGATTTCACCTTGGTGTCTTCAGACAGAAAAAGTTCAGTGAAAGTTTTAAAGCAATACATTAACAACAGGAAATCAATCTAATCAGAACTTTTACTTTTTCCATTGCCAGATGTGCATTAGTGTCTTTTTTTTAATTTTTCTTTTTTTTTTTTTTAATAGAAAAAATATAGTATTTAAGGAGTGACTGAGACAAATTGCAGTGAAAAAAATTTTTTGTGAAAGTTTTATCTTTACATTCAATAAAGTTGATCTGAAATGCTACAAGACTAGATGCCTAGAAGCAAAATCTACAGGAAGACTATAAAGGCTTCTGGTCTCTCTATATTGCAGTCAGTCTAAACTAAAAGAAAATCTGAAAATAAATTCTTTGTTTGCTAACTAGTCTGTTTTCCCAACCAGATTTAAAAAATAAAAAATAGTAAAAATTAAGGGGGATGTTAGAACATGTAGAGCATCATTTCATTGTTTTGTTTACACACAGAACAGAAGTTCACAATCAGTAAGAAAAGTAGTAAGTTAGCAACTGTGCATGCACCAAAGAGTCCTAAGACAGTTCTCAGGTTTTTGTGTGTTTTTTTTCTGTTTTTATTTTTCTTCACAGGCATTGCTAGTTCAAGAACCAACACTCAAAGAATACTGGCACTTTAAGAGGAATGAAGTTTCCACTGTCATTTAAAACAAGCATTCAGGTAAAGCTAACAGGATCATGAAGCAGAAAGTAAAGTAATGCTAAAAACAAATGCTAATAATTTAGTGTAATGTACAAAAATTACTTCAGTACGTCTTAAGAATAAGGATACACTGTATTTACATAATTATACACTTTGTCTTTGTCTTCTTTTTCTTCTTTTTACCGTCTTTGCTCATCTTCTCTTTGTGTTTTCTGATTTCTCGAACTAATGTATAGAAGGCATCGTCAACACCCTAAAAAGATACAGATACACACGTTATGATCACCTTAACAGACTCGGCTGCCTGCTCATGTACAGCCTCGTTTCACCTGAGCTGACCAGGTGAAGTGTTTTCAATCGGCAGCCTGCCCTGCAGGAAGCTGTGTCAGGAGAGCTGACAGCATCCTCTCCTCGCTGAGGCCCTTACAACACCCCAAGAACAGGCTGTGGGTTGTAGGAGTTGTCGGGACACCAACACCTTTTTGAGCATTCCCTTGTCTTTGGGAATGGGCATCTTGGGAAAAACTGAGATGGTGGGAGACTGCAGCTGTCTCCTGTTGCATGAGAAGTTACATGAGAATGCACACGTCTGATGGCATCCCTGTGTGCAGCTCTGCAGGAGAGCAGCTCTAGGGAGCAGGTGGCCACTGTGTGAGCAAATCCTCCTGGCTGCAGGCTGAGGATCAGCCACCTGAATGAACCACGTTTAGATTATAAGGATGTATAGTACTACTGCTGGATTTCAGAATAAAGCTCTGAAGCATTTGTTAGCTTTGCTTACGCCTAAAAATCTATACATAGCTTTAAAATACAAACACGAGAGCAGGAATTCAGTACCAAAGAGATAGATATGACTCATCCATGTACTCAGCTCCTTTTATCATACCACAGGTTTCTTAAAAACTCTACATAAACAAGTCATTCGAATCAATCATGTTGCAATGATCAGTTAACATTTGATAAATCTTTCCGTTCAACTTATGCAAAGACACGTGGAACAAACTGTCTGTAGTCTATCATATATCATGTACAGCCACTTAAAACCTTCAGAGCTCCAACAGTTATGCTACAGACACAAAAGCTAATGTTTCTTCACACTGAATAGTTTGTCTACTTTTGGGGGATAACTGTAACTGACAAAATTTATTACTTTTGACCAGACGCCCATAAACCTGATGTGACTCATAATCAAGTGCAATTTTACAGGCTTTACTTTGTAATGACCTATTTATGTGCAGTAGCTGCATAACGTTATCATATCACAGCAGCCAGCTGCACCAGCACAGAACTGGGCTGAGAAATCCAGCCCTGCAGCCAGCAGACCTCCTGTCAGCTACCGTGCCCTCAAGCTGCCAATAGAAATGAGCACTCTTGGTTTGCTCCTGTGCATATTAACACTTACAAATAAGCAATGTTAGATCAAAGCCCTTCATTGCCTATCCTCTAAAACTGGTAATAGAGTTTCGCAAAGTCTTATAACACATGAAATACATGTGCAATTAAGTTGCTCTATATTTGAAAATATTATTTGCTAAAATAAAATTGATGTAGTGTACCTCGTAAGAAGTATGCATGGCTCTGTAAAAGGTGAAGTTTTTTGAGAATCAGAAAAGGTTGGCGTTATTTTATAGAGGGAGAATATTTTACTTATAATTTCAGCCTTAATGCACAAAGTGAATATTTAGCAAAGTTCATGCAGGGAAATGATCCACAAATAGCAACAGATCACAGTGCATCTTTTGCAGTTCTTATCCCAGCCAACCAGGAGGGAAGTATTAAGAACCAGTCATACAAGGGCTTAGGTTGGAAGGGCCTCAAGGATCATCAAGCTCCAAATCTCCTGCCACATGCAGGGCCACCAACCTCCACATTTAATACTAGACCAGGCTGCCCAGGGCCCCATCCAACCTGGCCTTGAACACCTCCCTGGGCAGCCTGTTCCAGCACCTCACCAACAGAGTTTGTCACAACGGTCAACAACAGAGTTTCATTCTTACAACATAAGAATGATGTAAGAACGATCTTTGCACAATATTCTTCTATGTGACTGTTCACATTTTGTTACAAAACTACCCTTCAGCACTTCAGGCTCATCATTACTGTGTTACACATTACAACATTCATTACAAGGATAGTTGATGGCTTTCAGCAGTGTCTTCAAGCAAGATGCGCTTAACAGAAACTGTAACTCTAGTCTTCAAATGAGCAACCTTCTCTCCTCAAACTAGTTTTCATACAAGGTATTTTATCTGTGTTTTAAGTAATACTGTGGCCCTTTAAGCATGTGACTTCACAGTTAAGGCTGAAATCTTCCATTGCATCTCCTAAGGTAGTAATCTCAAAGACAGCACATGTTGCAAAATACTTGGGAATAACTTGCTTTTGTCCTTGCATTCATACCTTTGCAGAGCAAGCCTTTATAGTTGTTAACTAGGTAGTTTTGGTTCTGTCACAATTCATTTTAAGCATAAACTGTAAATACAACATAGAAAATATTTAGAGTATTTGTGTGTTAGAACTGGAGATTCAAGAAAAACGGAGGTCCTTCACTTTTCAGTCTGTGAATTAAATCTTAAAAATGCAAGTAGAATACAAGTAGTGGACACTCCACAATTACAGAAGATCTCCGATGGTGTTAGTACTACAAACAAGATCAAGAGTGGTCAATTTCCCAGTTACCTCTTTCAGCAGCAAGGGCCCACACGCAGCAGAGCTTTCTCCCTCTAACACTGGAGTCACTGTGTACAAACTTTTCAGAAAGCATGAGATGTACCAAACGAGCGCTTTCAATCCACGCTCAGGATTAGAAACTCAGAATTCAGAGAGCATGCTCAGAGCTGCAGCACACTGTTCTGGAAAACAGTGGTTTAGAGCAACTTGCTGCGTACAAGACAGCTTGCTCATAGCATTTGTTTTTCCAAAGGGCAACTAAGTGAAGGGAACAGAAAAATCAGAATGTTCAGAAAGCAGTCCAATCCTGGCTACAGCTTCTCTTTGGAGCACTACAATTGCGTTATCTAGTGGCAGTACAGAAGTCTGGATGTCTGGTTATGTGTTTACAGACATGCCAAGTAGCCTGAATCTGTCACCCTACACACCCTAAATTCTCAAGGAATTCGGATTCCTAAGGACTACAGCCTCAAATAGAGTCCTTAAAAGTATATCTCATACACACACAGAGTCATGAGAAAAAGAAATTACGCATACACTTCCACAGTGCTACTGAAAAATCATGAAATTAGTTTTAATTAAGAACTGGTAAGTTAATGAGCTTTCATAAACTGGATATTCCAAGAGGTACAAAAAACACCCTGAACAAATTTGATAACCCATAGGCAAGAAAGGAAGACATACACTGTGCATCACTCCAACACTTGTTACAACGAGCAAGCCTCAAATACACCATTAGGTGCTGCTCACCTCAGCTCATCTAACATACAGCAGGCTGAAATAGAATGCATTTAGTCTTATTAAGTGGGCAGTAATACAAGCCGGAGTGTTTTAAATGCTGGATTTCTCATGCCACTATCATCACTACTGTCTACATCATCACTACAGCTGTAGTGCAAGAATTTTGGAGTATATCATCCCTAGCTTAATCTCCAAATATGAAGTTGCTGCAAAGACTATCAGTAACTTGAAGGTATTTATGTAGAATTCATTTGAAAATGAAGACAAGTGTTTCCTCTGCTGAGCAGATACTGAAAGCACTACAGCCTTCTGTTTTTTAAGTAAGGTATGTAACAGAAAAAGGAAAAAAAAGATACCGATTGCTGACAAAAGATCTTCCTCAGAGGGGAAAAAAACTAAAAACTCATTTCTCTTTGAAGTAGACAGAAAAAGTTGGAAGCAGATGGAAAGGAAGTACAAGAGCTGCTCTGAAAGTAATGCCTCCGACTTCATGATGCTGGCCCATGACTTCAGATGTATGTTTGTTGATATGGCAGCAGAGGTTGAACTTCCCTACCAATATTCCTTTACATTTTGTTGTTGTGTGACAGATGGCAGCAGAGCAGGCAGTCTGACAGAATGGTGTCTGACACAAAAGTGCATATGAAGGTTGTGCCACTGAATTTGTCCTTGTTGAAAAATGGCACCCACTGACATTCCTCAACACTTTCTGAATGTTTACAGAGACCAAACAGTGAGGTGGTGCTCTTCAGCAGCGATGACAGCGGTGGCACCTTTGCTAGTGCACATTTTCAGGAATGAGTCGTGCAGCTCTTGTTCATTTCTGGTGAAAAAGCATTGCTAGTAGTGGTGACTATGTTGAAAAAGAGCATTTTGTACCTGAGAATGTGCTCTATCAAATAGTGTTATTGTGCTCTTTGTATCTGTTGCAGTTTCCATAGAAATAAATAGGAGGCATGGCTTTCAAAGTGACCTACCTACATGTTCTCTGAGCTGTTAAAGGAAAAAAAAAAAAAAAAGAATTGAAAAGAAAAAAGAAAACATTCCTCCACTCAAAAAAAACACAAACAAAAAACCTATACTCCTCACAGGAAAGTCCACAAAAAGGAAAATCAAACAGCATTAAAGTACGAATATACAAAGGAAATTTTAGTTTGGGTTTTACAAATAAATGCTTCCATCACTCCCCATTATCAGAATTAGTCCAATAAGTTTCTGTAAATAAGTAAAAAGAAATAAACTTTCCCATAGGAAGAGGGGCTCAGAGAACAAGGTCAATCCATTAACAAGGTGTAGGGCAGGGGCTCAGTATAACACTTAAAAGCCCTTCCAAGGAAATAAAAGACATTTCACATTGAGACTATACTAGCAAAGAGCAAGACATGGAAAAGCTGGCCTTAAGAATGCTACTTTAAGGACGCTTAAGCAATTTTAATTCATATTACTCTCATCAAAAGCAGTCTTGCCAAGCTGCTTTTAGTTATTTTTTAAATAACTACAAAAAAAAAAAAGTTTTTTATTGGCACTAATTTTATTGGTACTTGGATGCAAAACTTGGGTAGCGTCATTACTAGAGTTTCCAGTTTCACGAAAAGGAAGCCTTTGATACAAATAGTATCACAAAGCATCTTTTTTCTTTTTTCTTTTTTTTCTTTTTTTTAAAACATCTAATGATGCAGCTCAAAGCAGTCATTCATCACTAAAAAGCTATGAATATAATAAGTTTTTACTGGATGTGCTCATGCTTATAAAAGAAGATTCTCCCCTTCCACCCCCACTCCTTATTAAAGGAAATCTTCCTTCAGTTACAACAGTCTTCTTAAAGACAGAAGTCAAATTCCTCTTACTTTCTGCAAGCTGTTTTACAGTGTGAAAAAACTTTTTCAATGGGTTTTTAAGCAATAGGAAACTCCACATCATCCTCCATTAGAGGAGTAATAGACCACACTCTCACAGTAAGAGGCAAAGAATCAACTCAAGGGGCTATTGCGATGGTTTACCCAAACATCACTGGCAATCATTTAGACTAGCACTTCTCACACACTGCCAATTCTTCCCTCTCCCCTTCCTGCAGTGTATTGATTTAAAAAAATGATTATTTGTGAGAATCCTGCAACTGTTCTTTCCAGTTGTACTTCACCACTGCCTTTTCCTCCCCTGTATAAAGGCTCCAAAAAAAAGATAAATAAAATAATCAAGAAACCTCCTTCTACATCTCAGAAAGATTGTAAGTTTTATGATCCTCTCCCCTCAGTTCATCAGCCTGAGGATGCACTCAACATACAGCTTCTGTAGTATCTGCAACTAATCCGTGTTAAAATATTTTCCTCCCAAATTCCTGAGGCACAAAACAAAATCTCTATTTTTACAGATGGAGAACTTGATATGCAGTAAAGATCTTCTTTTAACCTATTTATCACAAAAAGAAACAGGAAAAACAAAGTAAATCTATAGGTGTTTGCTAGGTATATTATTCAGGACTGCCATACTGAAATCTGAATGATATTACATAATGTAATCAGTTAATCATAAAATATCTGATTTGCAAAATACTGTTGATCAGTGTTATTCAGCAAATGACTTTAAAACTTACCCTATTACATTACAAAACTTACCCTGTTACATTACAAGGCATTTTTTAATTTTCATGCACCCTGGAGTCTTTTCTTCTTTGCTGATTTTTTTCACTCTGTACTGTCGAATCTCTCGCACCAATGTATAAAAAGCATCCTCCACTCTCTGCATTGTAAAACACAACTCCTTAAAAACTGCTTTATTGACAATCTTTACATATTGGAACACCATGGCAGGGAAAAAAAAAATACCAAAATTATGAGCTTTACTTGAGAGAAGTCTATGGATATCCAGATGGCCCACAGAAAGTCTGCACTCATACTGGGTCCAGAGATGATAATCAAAGATCCCATCCATCAGAATAGATGGAGAATTTTCTCCCATTTCTTCCAGTGTTGAAAACAGAGCTTCAATTTCTGAATATTTTTGCATAATTTTGTGGGTGTGAATGTATTTTGCAGACAAAAAGCCCTATGAGACTGGTAACTAGGGGGCACTTACGTACAGCTAGCCAACTATTTTCACTTCTTAGCCAAAGCCAGAACCTGTCACTGTTTGGGCTGGCAAAGAAAAGTAATCTTGTTTACCTTCTGTACTTTAAATAACTACTTGCTTTGCAAAATTTGTGCAGCAGGCTACTAAAGTGTAGAAAAAGTTCATATGAGTTGATAAAGAAATAAATTCCCTTAAGAATATAAAATTCCAGAGAAAACTGTTTTTAAAGCTTTTTTAGAGAGCAAGGATTATGCTAGCAAGTTTAGAAGAATGGGTTTCTGAGTCATGGCAAAGTGCTTTCTAAGAAGTATCTCAATGGTATTTCAGAATAACTTTCCAATGTAAATACTGTAATAAGAGAAGTTATTCTTCCACGCTGACAAGGCAACAAGTTCATTACTGATGATGTGTAAGAGCTTGGTTCAGATCCACATGTAAGGCACACCTGAGTTCTTCTCTCTGGGCCAGAGTCAGGCCCTATGGCAGCACTACATCCATACAGACTCTGACCTGCTGCTGCTCTCGTCTTCGTTCGGCAACAGACAGCTGCTCAAGCACACCAGGGCCAACAGAGCAGCATTTCACCTCTGGTCTCACATACTACCTCTCCACAGCTATGCCTTTACACCACTTACAGATAAGGATACCATAAGCATTTAAAGAAAAAATAATGAGGATTGGTTTATTTCAGCAAATAGGGAAGTACAGCGCTATCGTTAAGTTGGTGGCAATGTTTAGCTACAGCTATTAAAGGAGAAGCAAATCTCTCCTCAGTCAACCTCATGACTTGTCTCTTCAGTCAGATCAACACTGTTGTTAATTTAACACAAGCTCACTATCTGGAAATAAAAATGAAAGAGACTGAACATCAAGATTAATTTAAACCCCAGAACTTTATTATTACTCAAAATCTGAGCTTCTGTATGACAGATTTTCTTTAAGTTCCTCTCCTGCTCATCTTTTTATTGTGCACCCAATAATGAAAATAGCTAACATTCGCTGCTACAGTTAGTGGGTCACTTTGCATGAACCACACCACGGGCTATCTTAAGACTGCTGCTTATTTGTGAGTTCTTCCAAACTACAGCCATTCGAATTTAAAGACTAAATTAATTTATTTCTTGGGTGATATCTGTTACACAAGATGTGTCCAGTAAGCATGTAGTGAACTACTGACAAGTTGAGCCTTCTTAGGTTGTAGGTCTTGAAAACTTTAAACGAGCTATTGCAAACATCAAAACTCAAGTAAAGCTCATGCTTTCATGTTTTCCTAGAAGGCATGGAAACTTATTCCTGAGGAGGAAAGATTCAATATTGATCAGCTGCTACGTGCCAAAGCACAGGCTGTACGAGAATCAACGCTTTGCAAATCTACTGTTTTGCAGTAGAAATACATAATTTGATTATGGAGATTTCACATAAATAATCAGGCAACAGTTCATCACTCTATGTTTATTGCCATCTTTCCCATCACCAACAGGAGCCATGATTTGCTTTAGCAATGCAGAGAGATGCAGAGAGACAGACAGAGTGAAAAAAAGAAATCGCTACTACTGCCACCATCGAGAACAGTCTTATGAATGCTGTTGAGGAAAATTATTCTGAAAACAAATGCATACAAAGAAACATCTGTGCTAATTTCAATAGCACAAGGTGACATTTTTAGAGAGCCAGGTGCCAAGCTTTTATAAACACGAGTCATTTTAATACCAATTTCCTTTAAGAGTTTTCAATATTACCTTCTTAAACAAGCCTGGTTTACACATCTAAAATATAATTAACCAGCCAACAGAAATGGAAGCAAAAAATACCCTTTGGCAGAGTTTAGAATTTCAGCAACGTGAAGAACCCATGATCTCAATGGCAATGTTTTCAACATGCTTCTGACTTAGAAGGTAGTCAAACATTCCACTCAAAGTCATGTAACTGAGGTAAATGGCACAGTAACAAACGTCAGATCTAGTAGCCCTTTGTCAGGATAATCCTGCCCCTCCTCTCTCACTCCCATGATGGGGGACTATGCACTATATGCACAGGGAAGAATTTAAAATTAAAGGTTGTGTCAGACAGGGAGAAGTAAGAACAGCTATAAAAATAAACCCTGACAATTCATACTCTTCTGCATAAGGACTATGAAAGGATAAGTGATGCAACATGCACTATAAAACCACCAGTACAGACACTGGCTTACATATACAAAATAGTGTTAGTGCTATTTATAAAAGTCACATAATATTCACTTTAGTCAGTGGTTTAGCTAACAAGAGAAGAACGAACACCCCATTAACCACAACCAATAATCTATAGCCCTATACCCAACCTGTAAGATCCACCAAGTTAATACTTCACTGCTCAACTCAACAATTTGTATGAAAAAAGAAAAGAAAAAAAATCACACAAGGATTTGTGTAACAACATGACTTTTATGCCAGTCAGAATGGAATGAAAACCAATTACATTAGCTTTTAAAACACTTCCATTTCAGTGTTATTTCCTTTCCTACTTCTGGCCCCACCTATCAATTATATATAATCTTAAAATCGGGATTAGTTGAAAGAGATACAAGGTAATGCCTCAGCACACTGCACTGTCTTTTAAAAGACACATCTCGGCAATCAAAAAGGAATAGACAGGTAACTCCACTGCAGTTTCACCTCCCTCACTTCCTCACCCTGAAGCCCTTTTGCTTCTTGTTGGTCTCCAGCAAAGCCAGGGCAAAAGGAATGGCAAAAGCAAGTGGGCAGCGGGGAGCCCTCCAGCAGGGCATTAGTGCCAGCAGCTGCATAAACAGAAGAGTAAGAATGTTCCTGCTGCTGAATAATCTTCTCGGGCCTTATATAGACTCTCAAAGTTATTAGGCCATCAGCTACACTTGCCCAATGGCACAAGTTCTTCATATAGCCACAGAAAGGATCAGATGTATAGATATCTCCTTCTCTCTCTCTCATTTCTTTTTACACCAAGGACTGAATTCTGCCTACTAGAAATACATTCTATGGGCCACATCCAGCTCATAAAATGGCTTGACTCCTCTACACCCCCACTTCAGAGAATTACTTTGGAAGAAGGTAAATGTTCATATGTATTTTATATCAATTAATGTGACTTAAAAGTCATAACACACACACACACATATATATATATATATATATACACAAACACAAATATTTAGATGAGCTTGCTGTACTTAAAGATCAGCTCCTTCTTTCAATTCCATTCAATCTTACCATTTTAATACACTGCATCATTAGGAGGTTTAATGCCACACTGTGAAATAAGCATATCTAATGGTTCACCTTTTGAGAATGTTACCTTCCAGAATAGACCAGCAGGTATCCCTACCATAAAATCTGAGGCTTTTGAGCGATTACTCATCTGCAGAGGGTGTAAAGATCAGCACTGAAAAACTAAAGGCCATCCCCTTTCTATAATATTTCAGTTGACACCTCTAGAAATATGAAGTAAAAAAACACCAAGAAATAAGTTGCAGCAGTTCATACATGAGTCATGATTGTGCAGTGAAAAGTACAAAGCTCCAGCAGACCCCTTAGAGGCACACCTGGGTTAAAGAGAAACAAAGCTGATACTACTTTGCATAACTGAAGACCAGAAAACTGAACAGGAATGGCAATCTGTGAGTGTGAAATTTTTCACTAGGTAGGCTTATAGGATAATGTGAAGACTGGGACTTCTTTGAACATTACATCATTTTCAATCCACTTTCATTAGAGGATTTGAGAAGAGTATTCCTTAAACAAGATGTGACACTATATAGCAGGCTGAACAAAGTTACATCTAGATGTTAATACAGACTTTGTATTTCAAACCTCAGATGCAATTTCAGAGTTCTTCCTTTTTATCTTAACATCTCAGTGACAGCCACTAACACAGGAGCTTCTAACCACCATAATTATCCAGACCATTTATATGCCACACTCTTTCTTGTGCCTCATTGATCATCAGCCATTGAAGTTCTGTAACTCTATTTTACTTACCCTACCTGACAAGGGTTTACTGGCTCTTCCTTATTGCCTGAAGTTAGAATTCCATTGAATCCTCAGCAAAGTTTCAGTAATTGGTCCAGGCCTCAACTTGTCAGAAACTTAGGTGGGTACAGCATATTTGCACTAATAAAATTGTCATTCCTTTTAATATAGAAATAATTTATGTACTGTTTACGAAGAAGTTCTGTCAAGTGATGCAGCTCCATCTATTCAGCAGATGCATGACATTACTCAAACTGCAGCACTCTGCCCTTAATTGCATTTTTCTGCTACACGTATGTACCGATTTACATGCAATACTTCTGAAGAGGCAGAGAATAAAAGTTATTTGACCACTCAGATCTGCTGTAATTCCGTGTACAGCAGGGACTGTGTACACCGTGGACTGAGTGTAAGTCCCTGTTCTCCTGTGAAAAATATCAAACCCCAATGCAAACCAACTTTTTTTTTTTTTATTTAAAGGAATGGTTTCTTCAGTACATAACCAGTTTCATTTATACTGTATACTTATCTTCTTTTGAGTGCAGATATACCACCTCCTTCACCTTTCTCCCAGAGTTACAGAAATACTGGAAGAGCTCTAATACTGTCTCTTCCATCTACAGCAGCTGAGTACAACAAACGTGTGCTCTAAAGATTTGGAAAGTTATCGCTTGACACAATCAATTCACCCTGCAGAAATCATAGAATGACTTACGGACCTTAAAGCCTACCTAATTCCACTCCCTGCCATGGGCAGGACTGCACCCAACAGCTCAGGCTGCCCAGAGCCGCATCCAACCTGATCCTGAACACCTCCAGGGATGGGGCATCCACAGCTTCCCTGGGCAGCCTGTGCTCCAGCATCTCACCGCCCTCTGAGTAAAGAATAGTAAAGAATTCCCTCCTAGTATCTAATATCCAAACCACCTGTAGCTTCAAAAAAAAGACTTACGGTCAGTTGCTTACTTATAAAAAGGTATTTGAAGCACGTTCCACTCATGTTAAATTAACACCTTAAAAGATTCTTTCTTTTGTTATTGAGGCTTAGAATAAACTAATGTACTGTCTGCTTAATCCTCTTGCAGAGGAGAGAAAACAAACATTTCACCTCTAAACAGGTGTACTTTTTACATATAAAGCCTAGCATAATAAGAATTCTGCAACTGACAGTGGAGAGTACCAGCAGCCCAGGTCTCATTCTTTCAGTTTGCGCAACAGAAGCAAATCACAAATTAATACACAATTATCAGCAGTCAGAGAGCTGACAGAAAGAAAAGACACCACAAGAATTTCTACTCTGAAGAAACAAATCCATTGCTGTAATGATTGGTAATGCTCAGAATGATTAACTTGATGAAAACTAAGCTGAGTGCTACATTTTGATTTGTAAGTTGTGAGCTTTACCTGTCTTGTCTTTGCTGATGTTTCAATAAAAGGAATTCCATAACTTCTTGCTAAATCCTGAGCTTGTTTTGTATCTACTGTTCTGGAAGGCAAATCACATTTGTTTCCTACTAGCACCATTGGGACATCTTCAGAGTCTTTAACTCTTTTTATTTGTTCCCTAAAGAAAAAAAAAAAAAGAAGAGTTTATTTAACAGATATTAATAGTTTATACAGTAGATTATAAAACACTAAAACAAATGAAATTATGGCATTTCAACATCATTCCTTATATTAATTCACTGCACATTCACTATTAGAAGCTACTAAAAAATAAATAAATTGATCAAGTCCTATCACTATCAAGTTTATTACTTTATTCTTAAAAGGCTGGCATGTTGCAGCAAGTGTTTCTATCAGCAGTGCTCAGTAAGCCGAACTGCCATAGCTTCTCATGTCACTACACAAGAATCTTCCCCAAAAACAACAGTTAATGTCAGTAATGTCAGCTCTGGTATAAATCTTACTACCCATCTCCCATACTTTGCACTCACAATACCCAGTTCATTTGCTGAGATAAAACAGTCAAAAGCCCTCTGCCTGTACTGTGTTTTTCAGGCTAGGTCAGCATCATAAACTATGCACTTAGATAAAGGGATTTTAAACTCCGAAGACCACTGGTCTGATTCTCTGAAAAGAGAAATCTGGTAGAGTCTTTTAAAAGAAAGAAAATGTTTTTACCATATCATTTAGATGTACTTGTAAAGAATCTCAAATAACAATCATTTATTTCTTCTTTTCTTTCCTTGCTTTCTTAAACAGTCTATAAGCCTTCTCCTTAATGCAGTCGTTGTTTTCAGTTATTTATTTAGAAACATTCAGCTTCAGTCAGCAAAGTCATCCACAGGTGTGGGAATGCACAGGAGGAGCTCCTGCATTCAGCTCACAGCGCTGAGTTAAAACCCAGAAGGCCTCCTCGTGCAAGTCTACAACTATTTCTTTATGAAGCTTAAAAGCAAACTTCACACTCCTTTTTGCCTTATGTCAACACCTTACCATTTCCTTCCTCCTCTACAGACATAGGAAACTCCTTTCTAATAATCTGGTTAGACAGTGGAGATGTAGGGTGTTTTTCTGAGAGCGAGATATTTTTTTATCTCTACTTGAGAACTCTGATCTATTCCATTTTTATTAGGAAGCTGCTGGTACATCACATTCTTCACTTACTACATTTTAGATATAGTGAAAGGTATATAAAGACTGGCTAGCTCAATTTCAGTTTGGAAAAGTAACAGTCCTGAAACAAAGGGCGTACAGAACTCTCCTGACCCCACAGTTGCTACAGGAAGGTAAGCCAGCAGTAAACTAATTTTGTAGATAGAAATCTACCAGTTTAGCAACTGAAATCAACACTACGCTACCAAATGAGCTGAACTGCTAGCATACAGGAGAAATAAAGCTACACAATCCAGACAGCTACAGCTCCTCACTCTGATTACCTTGAACTATCATAAGGTATCCCACCTTAAGTGAGGAATCAGTGACTTTAATTTGTTACAAAATGGGCAACTTCAGTTTAAAAGTAGATGTTGAGTTTGTGGTTATTACTTACAGCAAGTCATTCCTATGCTACACAGCAACACAAACTCAAGAGCATTTAAATATTTAACTTGGAATAGCTTAACTTATGCATTTGGGAACAGCCTTAAACTGATGCTGCTAAAATCAGTGATCTTTGGTGGGATTTGCCTTCTAACACAACTCCCAAGCAGAATTCAATGTAATATGAAGCTAAAAAGCTATAACTTGCTGGTATTGATAACAGAAGTAGAGACTGCTTCTCTTCCATTTTAGTGTAGCTGCCATCAAGCAAGCACGAGTTTCAATTTTTAACTAACTCAATCAGCCATCATCCTGGATGTGAAATTTCATATGGGGATCCTTTTTATTTTTTTTTCTTTAAGGTGTCAGAGCCCAGGTTACCACTTAGGTACCCACTTAGATACTCTTGCATGGGTATTTTCCTCCTCTTCCCCCAGAGAAGAAAGGCTAACAATATATTATCTGTAAATTTTAAACTGTGTTTTTCATCTTTAACCCTCAATTTTATTTATGGAATAGGCAGAGTTTACTTTCAGATAATTTCTTACTACAAAAATAATATCCATTAAGGCAGTAACAGCCATTCATAACAGAGAGCTTTCAGATACATTGCCTGCTTAACTCCAGAATGAAACAAGAGATTTTCAATTACCGAAAATTACAGACTTACAAATGGACAAGTAAATTGTAACACTGCTAATTTGCAAATTTTCCTTTAAGTGCTATTTCATGAGAGGTCAATTCATTATCCAGTGTAAAAAGCAAGCAACCCACACAGCTAATACAAGAGTTAGTCATTTATCTTTCAGCATACACACCTATAATGGTGAATATCTTCAAAAGATTTTGTATTGTTTATAGCAAATACACACAGGAAGCCTTCTCCTGTTCTCATATATTGGTCCCTCATTGCACTATATTCTTCTTGACCTGCTGTATCAAGAATATCCAAGAGACAGGTTTCCCCATCAATTACTACTTGCTTTCTGTAGGAATCCTAAAGAAGAGAGAGAAAAAAAAAAAACATGGTTAAATACAAACAAAGTTTTTAAGCACAGATAGTTCAAAAGATGTTAAAGTTGTTTTCCAGTAGTTGATCATACCTGAAAACACTTATAATCCAATTTTACAGATAGGCAAATGAAAGCATAACTGGTACCATATCTTTCTGCTCAGACATTAATCCAGAAATGAAAATGCTACTGGAAGGACATGTTCTGTTCTGATCTGCATTCCGTGTCTTCAGCAAGTAACACTGCATGCATATGCACGTATGCACATACACACAGCATTCTTATTTCTCATTTTGTACAAAGAGACAAAAAGTTCAAATTGAATCCAGATCAAAAACCTCTCCCTTTGTTCATATGAGAATTGAAGAAAGCTGTAATCCTGATTTTAAAAGATTTAACTATGAGCTAACTCAATTGGAAAAAAAAAATAAGTGAAATGTGGCCTTCATTCTATGGATGTTAATAAAAACATCATGCCACAACAATGTACAAAATAATAAAATAGAAAAAGTTCACAAGCAGAACAACTACTCCAAAAATCTATGCCCCTGAAAAGGAAGTAAAGCATAAGAAACCTTCAGAGTTTGAGACGGAAAAAGCTGTTTTATATCCCTAAGCAGCTGCATATAACATTTGTTATCAAATCACCAAAAATTAGTGAACACATTTGAAGTTCAAGTTTTTCAGACAAGACAGAGCAACACAAAGCACAAAATCAGACACAAGCCCTGATAGGTTCCGAGAGATGCTGGAACAAATTATTTCAACACTATCAACTCAAAGTTTTCAGGTCACTGACTCAAGTAGCCGAAATCTGTACAGAGTCCGAAGCAGCTAAAAGTAATGCTTATTTACAGGCCTTTTGGTGCTAGACTTCTGTAAGCACATAGTTTTAGCAATAACGAGAGCACGAGTCCTATTTTTTCATCCAAACCTCTATTTCCTACAAGCACTATTATAATAAGACGACGTCAGTAAACTTTAAAAATGTCACTGAGCACCACAAACTATTCTCAGTTAATAATATAGCAAATAAAAGGCGTCAAGAGGAAATCATGGCATAACCTTTCAGATCCTTTAGCTAGAGATTAACATAATATTGCTTGTGCTCTTGTTATATAAGCAGGATCTTTTTAATACTCTACAAAAAAAAAACAAAACAAAACAACCACGAACTGAAGCTACTGTGAGGGGAACTGAAGTTGCAATTCTAGCCAACTTCAAGATGAATTCTGCACGGCCTTCCTTCCTTTGCATCAATTTTAAGCACTATACGCTGTGCACTTTATCAATTTGGTGGTTTGGTTTGTTTTTTAACACAGAAGTTCATTCTTTCTTGTTGCTAATCCTAAAAACAATCAAAAGACAGCTGTATAGAATCAGTATGTTCAAGTAAACAAATGCTGGGCTCTTATTTATCTCGAGCCTTGATACAATTCAACAATACCAGGTAAAACGATATTGACTTCTTACCCTTAACACACAAGTACAGCTCCAACGTGATTCTGGAAGTATTAATGTCACAGAAGTGCAAATTCAGTGTTCAAGTAAGCAGTTGGCAGTCTTTGAAATATAAAAGCTGAGAGAAATACACAATCTCCAGTGTATTTTAAAGTAAGGCTAACATTCCATCTCAGCGCTTACATGAGAAGGAAAAAAGCCTGCCCATCTTTATCCCAACTCACTTCAATCAACAGGAGATCTCCCACATCCTATCAACTTTATCACAGTTCAGCAATGTATTAACAGATCTTCTGGCATTGCATCAGTCATAAAAAAAGCCCATTTCATTTTCTTCTTACAATTTGACTGCTACTTTAAAAATATGAATTTCTGTGCAATTCATCACTCTAGAGGGAAAGCAACTCTCCAAAGCTGAGCTCTAAACAAAAGCTTTAAGTAATTTTCATCAAAGAAAACCACTTTAAAATTCTTCCTGCAAGAAATGCTAGTTTTAATATGCCACACCAGCAGCAGCAAAGCTGCATGAACACAAAACACAGCACAGGTAGATGAGCAAGGAATGCCTTCAGATAGTTTGTTCTGAAAGAAAACTAGAAGAGAGGATCTGAGATGGAAAAGACTAAGGATGTGGGAGAGAAAACTCAAGTTTATGATTTCCTACCAAGTTGCTGAAAAAATAAATATATGGCTTTTTCAATTGCTGTTTTTTTCCACCCTCTCCCCTGCAAAAGAGTCAAGCCTAAAAAATCCTATTTGGCACTATATGAAAACCAAACCACCACATCAACAGCTCAGGTTGCTGAGACCCCCACAGCAGCACCACAGTGAATACCTGCCCACACAGCCCAAGCGCAGATAACATTCAAATGTTACCATACTGTAAGAAATTACCAAGTCCAAGAAAAAAAAAAATAGTGCAGGATGAACTGAAGAACTCAAAGCTAGTTACACTGCTACAATACCTGTCATAGAATCATCAAGGAATCACGGAATGACCTTGGTGGAAAAGGACCACAATGGTCATCTAGTTTCAACCCCCTTGCTACGTGCAGGGTTGTCAACCACCAGACCAGGCTGCCACATCCACATAAAGCCTGGTCTTGAATGCCTCCAGGAATGGGGCATCCACAGCCTCCTTGGGCAACCTGTTCCAGTGTGTCACCACCCTCTGTGTGAAAAACTTCCTCCTAATATGTAACCTAAACCTCCCATGTCTCAGTTTAAAATCATTCCCTCTTGTCCTATCACTGTCCACCCTCGTAAACAGCCATTCCCCCTCCTGTTTATATGCTCTCTTCATGTACTGGAAGGCCAAAATGAGGTTTCCCCAGAGCCTTCTCTTCTCCAAGCTAACCAAGCCCAGTTCCCTCAGCCTTTCCTCACAGGAGAGGTGCTCCAGCCCTCTGATCATCTTACTGGCCCTCTACTTCAAAATGGAGTATCAGAAGTATCCCCCAACATGGGCAGACTCCCTTTTAACAACAAAAAAACCCTTCTCATGATGTTTTTGAAATCCAGCAGCTTCACTGCACACTGGAAGATATGGCAATGGAAAAGCACCTAACGTAGGACTACTGTATATAAAACAAAATGCAAACTAGAAATTAAATGCAACACTATACATGACTCCAAATATGAACTTTCACTTCTCTGAGTATGCAGACACTATCTACATCAAAGAGTTTCAATTTAATTAATCACACAGTCTGCTTTCAAGCCATAAAAAACATAAAACACACACATTATGCTAAAGGAACAATGATAATTCCATTTGTTCACAACAATTACCCATAACTAAAGATGGCATCTCAGCTTCCTGTCACAAATTGAGTTTATCTGGAAAAAAAAAAACAACCCACTGACTAAAGAAACCCCATCTAGGAGAGTAACTACTTTTTTTTAGGAATCCACTCTACCAATGATTAAATATTAAAATATCATAATTATTATGAAGCTACTACATGTTGGTGGAAGTTCCACAGGTGCACAGGTCACTGAAAAACACACAGACTTAAATATCAGTATTCCTAAATCACTCAAGGGATTTTGCTAATCCAATTGAAAAATCCTTTGACAGCCAGCAAGGAGGACAACTCCTTCTCCAAGTCACTGAAAACATGACCTAAATGCTAGTACATGTATGCTGACACTATAAAAAGAATTGATTTTAAAGTAATCACGGAAGATATTGCAAATAAAGATTTAACGAATCTCGACCAGTAGAGGGCATCAGTCCAACTGCTCTGTGCATTAAGCCAGAGCTCAAAGGGTGAGTGTACACACTTAGAAAAAAAACACTTAAAATTGCTTGGCTGTAAATGTGCTTTGACATCCATTTCAAGAAAGATACGAAATTGTGATAAACACAACAAATTTATTTCTGAATAACAGGAGTTACTCAAGCACACAGCAATTTCATTTTTTTCCCTGTCATCAACTGTAATAAATTCAGATACAAAGTACAAAATAAATACATGTTTTTTTGACTGGATCATGAGACATGAAGCTTCCCAATCAGGTAAGTTATTTGTTCATTCACTAATTCCACTGAAAAGAGTACAGACGTGAATGTTAGAGAATGCATCTGTAGTTAAGCAACCAGTTGTTTTTTGTTTTTTTTTTTTTCCTCTCCTGCACTGTTTCAGCAATGTAAGAATTTAAGAAGAGATGAATTTCACAATGGTTACCATGAAAGATTTAAAACAACTGAACAACCAGGTAGGTATGGAACCCACAGTATACAACAAACCCACAGTATACAACAAACACTCAGCTCTTTTCTATGCCTACTCCAAAATACCTCATTATTTTTGAGGAAAAGGCATGTTTTGGCAACAACAACAACAACAAAAAAAAAAACAACCAGAAAAAGAAACAGTAGTCAGTGAAAAACAATAGTTGTGACACTACTGAACCACTTATTTACTGGTCACAACCGTAGCCTTATTTCCTCATTGCACAAAAAGTGAGCCTTTCTACAGCTACTGTTCTTTGGGCAGCCCCATACCAGAACTACACCTATACACAGGAAGCACAACCAAACCCTTCTGAAGGGATTGTGCTCAAGCCAGAAGTGAAGCATTTAAACCCAACTACAAGCCCCCTAGCTGGAACCCATCTGCTTCTCCAAATAACAGAGCACCCCACAGTAACTGAAGTATGCACTCCCTACAAACCTAAGCAAGTTACAGAATTATAACACCATGAGCACACAAAGTGATCTACCAGGTGGGTAGATAGAATAACCATCCATAAGGTCTCAGGATTTACAAGGCAAAAACAGCAACCAGCTCCCTACAAGTTCTTGGCTGAGTACAAGCAGACTAATACTGTTACATTCAACAAGCTGTTGATGCAGGTAAAATCCATTAGGCTGTAGGTTTCTCCCAGAAAATCATATTGGTTGACTGCAGACCACACCACAGCCTTACAGACAACTTACCCTGTCCATTAGTGAATAAAAGCCGCTGCTCTAGAATTCAATGTCCTTCCTACAAGAACCGTATGTTTTATTATCATTAAAATTCCTTCAGCATTCCTCAAAATACTCAACTTGCTGATTAGCAAAAATCCCTCAAGTGATTTAGAACTGACATTTAAGTTCTTGCGTTCCTGAACGGTTTACACAGGTTTGTCCTTTTCAGACAACTTCTAACGTAGAACCTCAACAGTGCTTTCTGCAAAATTTAAATGTACCTCTAATCCAAGAAACCTAGATGATGAGCAAGTAGTACAAGTGTTACCAACAACTCTGTAAGTTCCTTTTGCAACCAAAAAGTAAAATCCCATTTTGCCTGTTCCTCTCAATGAGTTGTGTTTCTTGTTTTTTAAGACTGTTCTGGGTTGACATTTTGTTTTCAGATTTCAAATCTTAATAACTGAAAGAGCTACCTTGCTAGTGCAAGGTAAACATTCTTCCTATCCATTCACAAAACCTTCAGCAAGCATAGGGTAATCTACCTGGCCACGCGTCAGACAAAGTACACAGGCACATTAAAGGTAATCCCAAACACAGCCTGGTGCGTCCCCCTTTGTGGAACACCAACTCAGGCCTGTACTTCACTGAAGTAAGACAGCCTCCTACCATCTTGGGACACTGGCTCCTTTCACTCGTGCCTACCTGAGAATGACTCCAGAACCATTTCTGAGTCACCACATTAAGCCCAGATTTATACCCTTGCGATCCCTTCAAGTGAGGTTGGAAGCACCTCATTGTGTAAACATATAAGTGAAGTCATAAGCTGCAGAATATTTCAGTGCTGGGAACATAAAAATCCCGGGTAAGTTATAATGTCATTTCTCCTTTCATACAGTCTGAGGTTATTACATCAAACTACCCACTGGAGATTTCAGACAACACTATTTACAAAGCCAGACCTGCCTACTCATTAAAAGCCTCTAAAATAACAGAACTGTGTAAGTTCAAACAGATTTTCAGATTCTGAAGGACTGTGCCATGTACAGAAAAGAATTCACGATAGCAGCTATCCTGCATCTTTTTCTAGACCCACAGAAACATACAACTGCTTGTTAAAAAAAAAAAAAAAGAAAAAAAAAATTGAATTCCAAATTTTTGCCTCATTCAGCATAACAACCCAGAACACATTCCTCACCATGTGACACAGATCCTGATGATAAGAGCTGAGAAAGCCTGACACATGCATTTCAGAAGTAAAATCTCTCCTTACGTGTGACTTTCCATTTTGATATTAAGAGACCGATGTGGAGCTACAGTGAGTTTTGGCACCCTTTCTCCATTAGAGTTTGGCAAGTACTTCCTTACCAAGATCCTGCAAACTCACGTTCAAAGTGTCCAACACAACACAGCAACTAACACGCGCCACATTTCCACTTCACAGAACTGCTCATTTTTCACTGTAGCTGTTGTTATACAGCCAGCTCAAGAAATACAGCAGTTTGCTAATGCCAGTGTGATGCTATTCTTTACTTTTTATTTAATACAGTCTTGTTCCATAGCGTTTTTGCAGTAATGTCCAACAGCAAACAACTCCCACCAGCACTGCTAACCTCCCAGCACACGAAGACGGAGGTGTTTACCTCTATGGTAGGGTCATACTCATCCACAAAGTGGTTCTGAATGAGCTGTATTGTCAAGGCGCTCTTGCCCACACCACCAGCTCCAACGACAACAAGCTTATACTCTGTCATTTTTTAGCAGACCTGGAGGCAAAGAAAGCAACGTTAGGCAGAAAGGGTTGGGATCAGACCAGCGAGGATGCCGTCGGTGTAGCTTCATTCACTATCGCGTTCCTTTACTACTACCGGAAAGCGGTTCCCTCCCGGAAAAAAGGACAAAAAGCTACGAAGGGAAGAGATTCCTCAGACAGGCTCTCGTTCCCCACCGCTTTCTTCTCAAGTTCCAGCGGCACGGCAGCCCGCCCCTCCGTCCATCGAGCAGGGAGCGCAGCCGCCAGCCGCAGAGGCTCGGCGGGACGGGGCCGCGGCTCTCACCTCTCTCCCCTCATCCCGCCCAGCCCCGGCACCGCAGCGCTGCGAGGGCGCTAGCACGGGCTCGGCACCTCCGCGGCCCGGCCGCCGCCCTCCCCGCCCCGGCTCCCCCAGCGCGGAGCCGCCGGGGCCGCCTAAGTTTGCGAGCCGACCTCGCGGGCAGGATGCGGGGTGATGAGAGGAGGAAAGGGGGAGCGGCGCGAGGCGCGGGATTGACTCAGCACCAGGTGCCGGGCTCCCGGAGGGCGTTGGCCACCTGTCCCGCCGCGCCGCGGGGACGGAAGGCGAGGGGCGGGCGCGGGCCGCTTGGGTGACCGCCGTCCGGCCGCTCCCCGCGATCAGCGGCACCGAGGGCGAGGGGGGGGGGCGAGGGGGCGACCGGCTGCGGGGAGTCGCTTCTCCTGCCCCGCCTTGGCGGGGAGAGAGGGAAAGAGGGGGGGGAGGGGAAAGCGCGGCCCGGGGGGTCGGGTACCGGTACCTGCCCGGCGCTCTGCGGGCCGCGGGAGCACGCCGGCGTCTCCCTGCCCGCCGCGCGCGGCGCCCGCTCCGCGTCCCTTTCCGTCCCGGTCTGAAATGGCGGGGGACGGGGAGGGCCGGAGCTGGAGCTGCCGAGGGAGCCGAGCGCCGAGCGAGCCGTCCGATGGATGAGAGCGATCGATGCGCTCCGCGCTCCTCGGCCCCTCCCCTCGCCGCGCCGCCTCAGCCGGCCGGGGGTGAGAGAGGGTGTGGAGGGGGGAGGGTGGCGCTTCCCTCCGCAGCCCGTTGGTGGGGCCACCCGCTTGGAGGGCTGCGGCGGCGGCGGCAGGGGCGGCAGGGGCGGCAGGGGCGGCAGGGGCGCGCGTTCTCCCGAGAAGCGGGGCGCTGGGCGAACGGGGCCTGCGCCCGCCTTCGCCTTGCGGGCGATGCTCCCTGCCCCGAGCGGGCCGCGCCGGCTGTCGGGCCGTGGAGGCGTGGGAAGCCGCCTCGGCAAGAATAAAATAAAGCAGTTTTATCCGTAGCCGGTCAGAGAAATGTCAGACGGGCTTCGCGGAGTCGTCGCGAAGCTCAGGCAGCCGATGGCCATTGGCTGATTTCAAAATAACGTGCGAGGCTCCGGCATTTAGCCGCTGAGATGTTCAGTCCAAAAGTTAACGAACATAAACGTTCTGCTTTGTTTTGTTGTTAAACGAGCTGAAAATTGCATAATTAAGCCTGTTTTCTTACTAAAGCCCAAAAGCGTAATTCCTGGTATCTGAGGAGATGTGACACGGGACCCTCTCAACGCACGCACTGCACCCAAAGCCGTGGGATTTTTTCAGATGGCGAAGCTTGCTCCTAATAACAGCCTGCTCCGGGGCTGACTGCAGCCATGCTGACTGGCTTACACCAGGGATTAATTGGAGCCGTTTTGCTTTCCCTCTTGAAAATGGAAGGTCAAAAACAAACACAGCATGCCTACACATCTGGTGATCAAGAGATTTAATTTGAGAGGCCGGAGCTTTGTTCTCCACAACTGTGTGTGACCCAACTTCCAGCTTCTTTGGTTCTCAGCGTGATTCTGGGCTGTACCTATCTGAGCAGCAAAGCCATTAACCCTTTGGGACTGTGCCATCTAATTTAGAAAGTGTATTCCTGTGATTAATTCACTGAAATAAGCTGGAGCCCCCTTGCTGCTTTTTAACACTGCTCCCTGATGCTAAGGTGTTAAGATTTGTTGAGATAGCAAACGCATCTTGGAGCTGTTGAGTGAAAAATGCTGTTCTTTTCAGGCAGAGCCTAGGAAAGGTCGGACGAGCTGCTCTCCTTGTGTTCTGGAAATCAGTTTTCTCTGTCATTGAACCCAGTGACAGAAGTCCTATGCACTCCTATGGAAGCCTGTGTAAGGATGCATATATGCAGTGGGAGGGTATATGTTATTATGAATATGTTATTATGAACATATTCCTGTAGAGGAAATGAAATTGGTAAGCATCTTATGATCCCTGTTTCTCCTCACTCCTTAGACGTCATTTTTGTGTTCAGTGTTCTTACTAGACTGTTTCTAATACTCATGAAAATGCATATGACAGTGGAACATACAGAATCATCTCACAAATGAGTGCTAAAACGGAGTGATTCAGATTGCTTATTAAGTAGACTGTCTCGCATGAGCAGATGTAAAAACCTAAAGAAAAACCTGCTTTCAAAGAACAAGTAGCCTGGTGGTAAAACCACAAGCTTGGGATGTGGAAAGCCCACATTCCCATCTGTGGTGTGAAAGAAGCAAAGAAAGGATTTGAATGCAGATGTTCGGTAACTGAAGTTAAGTGCCCTGATCAGCTCTCTTAGGATAACAGGATCTCAACTTTGGTATTTTGCTCCCCCTAGGAAAACTGTGTGAGTGTTGTGGTTCTTCCTAACACAGTGGGAAAATGCCTGTGTCACAGGAGAACTTTCCCAGTCCCGTACATAATGCTGATGTTCCACAAACAGCTTTGATGCTTGCTCTCATCTATGGAATTTATATGGGGAGAGGCTGTTCATCTTTAAGCCCACGCAGTCACTGCTAGGATCAGAAGAGAAGAGAACCTCCTCTGTGAAAGATTCAGGTCCTGATGACAGCTTGAATCCCCGTGTCTCCATATGATCTCAGTGAAATGTGCAAACAATCACTGTGCGAATAGTTGGAAGACGAAAGGAATTGCTGGGGTTCTGGAAGAAGCAGGATGCAAGGTTTTATTTCTTTGCTGTGTACAGATTTGTTCATAAACGTCCACCACAAACTTGCTGTTTGCTCTCATTAACAGTGATTTTAGAGATGCCTTCTCAGGCTTATGGGTAAAGTGGTTTAACAACAAGCTGAAATAAATGAACTGGTCAAAAATATTAAGTTACATGTTGTTGAAAAGTCGGCACAAGTGATGCAAAGCTTCCTAGATTTTACAGAACTGTTGTTCAATGAGATACCACATTCTAGTGATTGTTTCTTCAGAGCAATTTCAGAGCACAGACAGTTATTATCTTTGCACAGGTGAAGATGTCTAAAATACCAGACACTTCCATGTGCTGAAGCTAAATGCTTTTGTAAAGTTAAAGCATATTTATGAATTCAAAGGCTTCCTCATATTTGCATTGAAATATTTCAGTCCTCTGGATCCTCCCAGGATATGGATCTTTGAGGACACGCAGGGCAAACCACCAATCCCAGTTCCCTTCTGAAATCATGTACCAGGCCCAAATGCAGCTATAACCCCTTCAACCACACATTTACCTTATTCAGATATACCCAATCCCAAACATTATACAAGAAAGCTAATATCATTTTAACAATGACAATGCATGAGCTTTCACCACCTGACTGTCAGCGCTTGTGGGGTGGGGAGAGGAAATGTAAAAATACAGCTCCAGACTCAGGATAAATAATAAGCTTTCTCTGACAGAGATTGGACAAGCTGAGACAAGAGTTAATTTTCCTGTGGTTTTTCCTGGTGTCTAACCCTATGCAAAGCAGATGCAAAGCCAATGGAGAATGACTACAGGAGGATGGGTGGGTTTGTGCAACTTAAAAGTTTGCCTGCTGTGAATTAAAAAAAAATACCAGTAAAGAGAATTTGTCACATACAGTTAGGCCAAGGGTTCGTGGCCATTGCAACCAGCAGTGTGGCACATCTTGTCAGATCATCACCATCAGACCTTCTGTCCTGGCCAGGCATGAGCATGTAATTTTGTCAGAGGCCACAGTGCTAGGGTTTCTGGTGGTTTTGTGCTTTTAGGCTATCATTATGGTGCCTTGTTCAAGGACAGACGATGCCTGAAGTGGCAGGTAAGGTGTGTAGATGACAATGTTCCTGACCTGGCTGTGTGAGTTTGTATTGGCTGTGCATTTGGTTTCATGCAGGCACATTATTTGGCTCTGATACAAGTCCATGTGTCACCCCTGAGTGGCACTGGAGACATCTCTGCAGTGTGGGGTGTACCAGCCTTTAGTTTTTATCATTTTGGCTTACCCTCCCAGGAAAATAAAGACTTTTAAGGAAATCCTGCCAACTTCATTTTACCACCCTACTGCTAGTAAAACCACTAGATTTGAAGTCCTATCTAGAGCAGCACAAATGCCCTTACAAATTTTTCTCATCTGACACAGTAGAATACAATCATAGTCTCTAATTCTACTCACAATAGGTGTACAGTAAAAGACCATGAACTTAAATACAGAAGTTTTCATATCCATAGGTAAATATCTCTATGCATGCGATTTAAAATATATGAATTAAAATTATACACACTATAGTTCTCACGTGGTATTAATTTCTGTGCCCTATCAAATTTGCTCAGTAATTTTACATGTACAGACTGAAGTTTAACATGTATGAATTCAGACTGTATGTGAATGTATTTTTCCATTTATTGCAAATTCTTTACAAATTATCTGATTGATCCCAAGAAATCCACAATCCTTAAACTGAAAATTACCTTTTAAATACTCCTCTGTGTGAAGGACAAGTCTAAATTCTGCTCCTTCAGCTTCAGTGACAGCTAATTTGTCCACTGTGCAATGCTTTTCAAATTCTCCTTTTCTGTATGTAGGATCTAAGGAGAGATGGTTGATGTATTTTTCTGCAGTAACATTAGATTTGGCTTGAAAGTGAGGCACTGAGCTATGCCACATTTTAAATATTCGTAAATGGTTTGACTTTTGGTTTAATTCAGATGTCTCTGACTTTTTGAGTATGTTTCTCTGCTAAAAATGGGGTGGGGAGAGAGGAACAGTTCAACTGTGAGCTATTCTTCAGAAAACTGGATGTTTTGCCATCCCACCAATGTCATCTGGCATTAATTAACATAGCATCTTGCTAATTACATTGTCAGCATACAGCCACTAAATTCAAATACAAAGAGAATTGTTAAAATGTCCCAATTTAACTCTGGTATTTCTTTTAAAGCATCATTCTTCAAGTTTTGTGTGTATATGGGATATCATCCAAACCCAATGAAGTTAATGGGCTTTCTTCAGATTTGGCCCAAAAAACATTTGGAAAAATCAGCGGTATGTCCAAACTGCCTCTCTAAATCAAGGAATTAGGTACTTAGCTCCTATTGTTGGTGCAGCACAGCACCCAAGACACCCTGATATGCAGCTCTGCAGAGCTGATGTGTCTCCCATGGGACTGAAGACTACATCTGAATGGGAAAGAGAGCATTGGATACAGTATGAGTTCACCATCGCTTTGTGCCCATGCCAAATAGAAACTGACTGGAGAAATCAAGTGGAGAAGGGAAAATGGCACGTTGAAATTAAAATACGAGTGCTAATTCACATGAGTGGCACCTCAACTGAGCCATGAATTGCTACATGAAAGCTGAAGCCAACTTTCCAAAACCTCTGTGCGTGCTGCCAGCACACTTGCATGTTGCTGTGTCTTCTGTGTTGTGTGAGGGTTGGCTGCTCGGTGATGCTCTGCTGATGAATTTTGTGATTCCTTCTTCAGCTGGGGAGATCTTGGGAGAAGGACGAGTGCCTGAGCAGATCCTGTACTTTGCCCAGAGCAAAACAGTGTCAGCAAAATCCCTCCTGCTTAAAGCACTGTGCCAGCGGTGAGGGGATTCTACATGTGTGGCTGATCCAGGGTAGGAGCCACACTGCAGCCAAACACTGG